CTTCTTCTTATAAAAACATCAATCATCCAATGTGATTGTTGTTACTCTCATTCATATGAAAGATTTTGGTACTCATGGTTTTGTTCAGTCTCCAGCTTATCACACAGGACCTCCAGCTCTTGAGGCCCTATCCTGTTTCTATCTAGTTTCTCTTTTACATAGATAAGGCCCTATACCTTGAACCACTTGACCACTTCTGCTTTAATTCTGGTGAACTTGACAATGCCACTTGCATTCCTGTGCTAAGCCTATGCACCCTTCAACCCAATCCCCAGTAGAAACCAACTTGGCAACCTCGTGGACCCCACTAAAAGCTTGGGTCTACAGGAGCCCTCTATTGAACGATGTCTGCTTGTTGTGCACACATGTTCCTAAGGGCCCTGCATCATCCGACTTGACTTGTGAAGTGGGCTGCTCCATGCTCTCTGGGTGCTGTGAGTAATACACTTCGTCTTTTGACCAATGTCCCTGACTGCCACGGCTGATGATACCAAACCTAATTTAAATCCCTTATTTCGAAAACCTCACCTTGGTTAAACTGATTACATCTGCAAACATAGTTCCAACTAAAAGTCAAATTCCAAGATTCCAGGAAGTTTCATTCCAGAAAGACATGAATTGAGAAGAGACACAGCACAACATATGACATCTTGTATTGGCTTCTGTCCCTTCCCTGCCTTGTTCTCTACTCCCTTGATGGCTCCTCCAGTGCCTCCCAAAGGAACTCCTTGCATCCAAATCAATACACCAGAGTCAGCCACTGAGATGACCCATGTAGACCTGGCCTCCTTGTGGTGAACAACAGGGGCCTCTTCTGTAAGTAGGATGAGCAAGTTGTCTCTTTCTATTCGGACAGGACAGAATCCTTCAATTCCCCAGATTTGGGACCCTGAACAGCACAATGATTAGTCCTGACTCTGTGAAGTGGGATGATTTATGATGAGAAATTATCTTCTTCAGAAATGCATGGGCTGTTTGGGGTGTCAACAGTTTTGTGCTCTTACTTGGCTTTTCCACTCGAAGTTGGCATTCTATGACTTGAACCAACACCTCCACTTTAAGCTTTTTTCTGGTTAATTGGAGATAAGAGTCTTGTGAGCTTTTCTGCCTGGACTGGGCTACAACCTCAATAGCCAGGTCTTAGCAACCTGAGTAGCTAAGATTACAGGGGTGAGCACACAGTCACCAATGTGTTTTTGAGGATCTGAGTTGGATTGGAGGAGGGACAATTTATTGCTTTGAGTCTTGATAAAGGAAAGCCACACTCTCTTTCTGGAGTAGAGGTTCATGAGGAGAAGCATGTAGTATTTATAGTGAGCAGAACAGGGGCCCTGAGACCTCTGAGCTTCCTGAAGGACAAGGCCCAGTAACAAGAGGAAAAGCTTGGTCCTCTTAGAATTGCTGTGAGCTTAGAATCTGAGGGGGAGAAACCTCAACAAGGCAAGAGGATTGGGGGAGCAAAAGGTGAAAAATGGAATCCAGTAGGTGGGGTGTGGTAATGGTCAGCAGATTGGACTTCACAGGTAAATTGATCTGTTCAGGTAACTGCTGTAGATGAAATCAGAACTACTTCCTCTGTTTGTATCTCCTCTGTTGCCTCTTCTTTCTGGCCCCAAAATGGTTGAGCTCAGGAGTCACTGGCTCCTTTCATGATCACATGACGCTGCATCTCAGGTCATATACCAATCCTGATGACCAAGGGCTAGGGTGTCTGCTAGTCCTGCTCATGTCACTGTATACCGAAGGTAAGTCCTTTCTTTCTGTTTTTCTTTCTTTCTTTCTTGCTTGCTTGCTTTTTTCTTTCTTTCTTTCTTTCTTGCTTGCTTGCTTTCCTTCCTTCCTTTCTCCCTGTTTTCTTTCTTTCCTTCTTTCTTTCTCTCTTCTTTCCTCCCTTCCTCTCTCCTTCCCTTCCTTTCTTCCTTCTTTCTTCCTTTTTGGTGCCAGCCAAACTCAGGGCTTGGGAGCTCTGATCTTTTGTGCTCAAGATTAGCACTCTACCACTTGAGCCACAGTTCCACTGGCTTTTTAGTAGTTAATTGGAGATAAGAGCCTCATAGACTTTCCTGCCCAGGCTGGCTTTGAACTACAATCCTCAGATCTCAGCTTCCATAGGTATGAGCCACTGGCTCCTGGACTGGAGCACATTTCTTCTCTGAATTGATTCCCACTGCTGTCCTACAGCCCTGTGGCACAGCCTCATATTGTACTACCCTGGCTGGTCAGAAAAGGCTGAACCCAGTTTAAGTCATAGGCCAAATCTTGGGGCTGAACTGCTGGACTAGACACCATTGGGTAAGGGGAAGATATAACCCAGAGAAAGCAAAGATAGCAGAGAGGGTGGGTGCCATCTTCTAAGACCCCTAGGAATACTTGTGTTCAGGCAGCACCAGAGCATGGGCCTTCTGTGATCTGGAAGGAAGGGGCCCAAGCACCCTGAGTCCCAGGGAAACCTGACAGGCTGGGAGGTGGCCAATGCCTGCCATTGGTCACATGCTATTGCTACTGTGCCTAAGATGTAGCCTTCTAATGACTGCCTGGGCCTCTGTCTAAGCTCTCACCTGGGAGCTGGTGACAAGTCCAGAGGTCAACCAGGCAGGGAAGTCCTGGGGCCAGGCCAGGCCTGTAAGCCAAGCAGCTATAGTGAGGAATGTGCAGAATGTTGGGTGGGTTGGCTCTTCCCTCATGGCCTCCCCTAATTCCACTGTCTCCCTCTTTGACTTACTCGGACTTCCAGTCCCAGCTTCATCTGACATTGTTAAAATTGAGTGAGGAGCCCCCGAATAAAGGAGGAGTCAGTGGGTGTAGGTCCCCTCCCTTCTCACTTTTTGCCCTAGGATTGCAGGTGGGACCCTCTAAACCAGTGATCAAGGATTGTGGTGGAGGGGTTATGGACAAGGGACAGCTAACTGCTACAGAGCCCACCTGGCTGCATCATTCCAGGGAGAGAGGGGGATCCTGGACTGGGCCCCACCCACCCAGGGCCAGGTGCTGCCTGCCCAGACAACTGATGCTGTATTCTAGAAGCCCTGGAGAATCTGGATCTCAGGATAGCACTTGAAAGAATCAGGCTGGGCACCAGAGCCTGTAATGCCAGCTACTTAGGAGGCTGAGATCTGAGCGTCATAATTCAAAGCTGGCCTGGGTTGGAAAGTCTGTGAGACTCTGATCTCCAATTAACCATCAAAAAACTGATCATGGAGGCATGGCTCAAGTGGTAGAGTGTCATCCTTGAGTGAAGAAGCTGAGGGACAGCATCTGGGTCTTGAGTTCAAGTCCCAGTACTGACCCAAGAAGGAGAAGAGGGAAAGGAGAGGGGAAGAAGAGGAGAAAGGACAAGGAGGAGGATGAAGAAAAGGAAGAGGAAGAAGAGGAGGAAGAAGAGGAAAAGGAGGAGGAGGAGGAGGAGGAAGAAAGGAAGAATGAAAGGAAGGAAGGAAGGAAATCAGGCTATTGGATTACTGTGCTACCATTGGGTCTGCCAGCTGGGCTGAGGGTTCTTCCTGATATCTCCTTGAAGAACATCTGGAGAGAATTCATCTACAGAGACAGAGGCAAGCCTGCTCTCCTCCCTCAACTCCCAGCAACAGGACTGGCTGCTCAAAGAACCTTGCATTACAGGCAGTAGAAAGGCCCCTGGAGAAACCCACGCTTGCTTTAGCCTTCAGGTCAAAGCTGTGTGGACTGCACAAGTGGCAGAGAGGTAGAGAGGTAGGGCCAGTTCTACCTGAAGGCCTGGGTTTGGTGGCATCCTGTTATTTCCATAGGAAGGTGGGAGGTGGGTACAGCTGCCTGAGTCCAAGTTGTTCTGTGCTTTGTCTTCCAGTCATGGCGGCTGTCTAGGTCTCAATGTGACAGTCTCTAGGATGAAAGTAGGAATCTAGAAGGAGCTGTCTGTAATGTCCCCAGAACCTGAGAACCGTGGATGAGACAGGAGAGTGCCAGGCCTCCTGATCACAGGTACCCTCCATTTCTGCCTTGTACAATTAGACTTCCAGACCTCAGGACCATAGGGCACAATGTGAGAACCCAGGACCTTTCTGCAGTACTTTGTTGGCACCTGTTGTGTGCCAGGCACTGCTGGAGGGGTGACTTACTACCTTCTTTATTTTGTCTTCTTTTGGTGGTACTGAGAATTGAGAGCTGGTTTGGAGGTTCTAGCAGGGGAGCGCAGCTACTCGTATACCCTTGACTGAAGACTGGTCCTCCTCTATGGGGGATAGTCATCCCCTTCGACCGAGCGCGCAGCTTCGGGAGGGATGCACATGGAGCCATGAGGGAGGAAGGGGACACCTGCCTAGCCAGCCAGATCAGCCGAATCAATCCTGGCCATCAATGGGTGACAGATGTCACAGCCAGATCACCCTCACATCCTGGTACTGAGAATTGAACTCAGGTCCAGGGCCTTATGCATTATAGGCATGTGCACTACCACTGGAGCCACACTTCCAGCCCCCCTTTTTGTATTAGTTATTTACTTATTTTTGTGTCAGTACTGAGGGTTGAGTTCAGGCCTGGGCATTGTCACTGAGTTTTTTAGCTCAAGGCTAGAACTCTACCACTCAAGCCATTGCCCCACTTCCAGTATTTTGGTGTTTAATTGGAGATAAGACTCTCATTAACTTTCCTACTGAGGCTGGCTTTGAACTGTGTTCTTTAGATCTCAGCCTCCTGAATAACTAGGATGACAGGCATGAGCTACCAATACCTGATTTGTGCTGTTTATTTTAAGATCTTGCCTGATGTCCAGGCTAGACTGGGCTGTGGTTCATCAACTTGTATTTCCCCAAGTCACTGGAGATGATAGACTTGTGCCATTGAGCCCAGCCATTGTACTTCCCCTGTAGCTGGAATAACAGAGGTGTACCACTACACCTAGCCTTTGGTTGAAATGGAGTCTTTTGAAATTTTTAAGCCTTGGTTGTCCTAGGATCTTAATCCCCCATTACTACTTCCCAAGTAGTTAGGATTACAGGTTTGAGCCACCATACTCAGTTTCATCCTGAATACAAGCATTCATGCTTGTATTCTACCTGGGGAAATATGTTACACAAGAGATTATAGAGTTAAACAAGACAGTAGACAAAGGCTCAGGAGGCCCCAGAAGAATCTGCAGAAAAAGTCTCAGACACAGGGAACAGCAGGTACAAAGGCCTGAGATAGTTGGGGGAAAATCTAAGGAGGAACATTGGTTGAGGCTCCCCACCTTTTCTAGCTCTGGTTTTGCTCACTTACCTGTTGTATGGGTCACAGAGCCCCATCTCCTTGCCCATCCCTCACTGGACCCATGCAGCTGGTGAGATCTGTGAAACTCCCCCCACTCCCATCCCGTCTCTGCTCACACCCCATTTGTGCACTGAGCCAAGGAAAGAACCTTCTGAGGCCCCTGTGGACACCTGTTCTCCTCTACCACTGCCACTGCCCCAACTTGAGCTATAGTAGCCAAAAGGAAGTGGTCCATCTCTTCCAGGCAAGCACCATGCAATGTGCAAGTTCTCCAGCTGCTTTGCTCCTGATTCCTGCCTCAGTTTCTTCATAGTGAGTGCCACACAGAGGCTCAAGTGTGTATAGTCATTTTGGGGCAACCCACAACCATGCCAGCTGGCTTATATATACAGCTATCTGTGTTCTAACTGTGCTCTCTCACTTAGCCTTACCTGTGACAACCACCCACTTCTGGTTCTAGCCACTCCCTCTCAGCCAGGGAGGTGCCTCCCATGTCTGCTCAGGTATTCCACACAAAGCAGTGTGGATTGGATGTTAGAGGGGAGTGTCCTGAAGGACCAGATCCCACCATCGGTTTCTAGATCCTTTCAGAGTACTTTCTCAACCCTATGACCTTTATGACATCCCCCAGATGTCTGCCCAGTTCTGGCAGCACCAGAGCTGCAGAGCTGCTTTCCAGGCCTGGCATGCAGTCTATGCAATTCTGCCACCCTTGTCCTCCATGCTTCATTTGCCTGGTGGAGGGGTAGAGGATGCTGAAGCCAAACCTGCTGCTGACAGCCAGCATTTATTTACATAGACAAGCACTGCATCTGCCCGCTACGGGGTCAGCAGTGAACCTCACATGCCTGCCACACAGGGCCTGGACCAGCTTCCCTGAAGAACTCCCAATGTGGTGTTCAGGAACCACGTGTCAAGATGAGATGGGGCAGGTCGATCTCTTGATCAACAGGGGAGGTAGACTATGAGGCAGAGTCTTGGGAGAGGGCAGAAAGGGGAGATGCTACCCATTGGAGGTGAGTCACAGCCTAGCTCACACAGTGGACAGGGTGTACAGAGGCCAAGGTGGGCTGTACGTAGCTCTGCCTAACCCAGGGCCAGCTGCAAACCATCCCTGGCCCTCCTTTCTGCCTTTTGCTAGTTGATGTCACCACAACCAGCTTGGTGACATTTTATCTTGCAGTGGTCCATGCTCACTGTTCTGGCCATACTTCTGGGCTAAGAATCAGAGGCTGAGGTCTTGCCCAAGATCTGCTGGATGGTCCCTGGACAAGAGGCTGTTCATTTTTGAATTTCTGTTTCCTCCTTTCTAAAGCAAAAGGAGACTTCCAAAGCCAAATGCCTCATGCTCTGGGCAACTGACAGTCTTCATTCCTTCATGTGGCCTGCAATATCACCTCCCAGAACACAAGTCTGACATGGCAGTGCAAAGGGCTGTGGGGGGCAGGGGGTAGGCTCATGGAATGGCCATGCCTGGGACTACAGGGTTCCTGGGCTGTTCTGGACTGTGTCCCCATGCGCAGTGGTGGTCAGGACCTCCAGCCAGCGCTGTTGTAGTTCTGTTGAGGAGGCACTCAGGTACCAGGTCTGCTGGCCCTGCTGCAGCTTCCACACATGCTCTGCCTGTAGGTGCTCCTTGGGGTCTGGTACACTCACTGTGCAGCCAGGGAGGCGGATGGTGCATGGCAGTTGAGCAGCCTGCAGGATGGAGAGAGGATCAGCAGAGTCATGGGTATACCCTAGTTCCCCATCTTCCTAAGCAACCATGCCCAACCCTATATGGTACAAAGCAGACACAGGCAAGCCTGGTGGATATGTGTGTGCTGACTTCTGTCTACATGAGAACCGGTAGCCCACAGCTCTCACTAGGGAGTTGCTGGGAGGAGGCCCTCCTATTTCCCTAAACTTCCCTCAAACTGTCTGGCCTCTGCCATTGGGACAGCTACTGAGGCTGAGAGGTGAGGCAAAGATTTCTGAGTCCACCTGCCAATGGAATCTACCCAGGATATGAGTGAACGAAGAGCTAATGGATGAATATGTGTAACAAGGAAGGGCCAGCATCTGTGCCATCTACTTACCCTCTATTATAGCTTTCTCTATCCCATCCACACCCTGGCTCTCTCTGGGGTCCTGGCATAGTTAGGAGGCCTGCCTTCTGTGAGTAAGGAACAGGGGGGGTTTCTAGGAAGCCAAAGAGGGCCAGGTCACTGACGGTTGGTGAATCAAACCTGCTGCAGGTGTGGCAGGCCCGAGGCTCTGGGCTGTAGTAGTAGAGAGCAGGGACACACACCTGGTTGTTTCCTTGCAGGTCCAGCACCTGGGAGTCTGACTCAGGGATGGCGGCCCACACCTCACTCCAGTCCATCCCATTGTCTGACAATCTTAGGGGGCCACAGAGTAGGCTGGGCCGGGAATCTGCAGCAGGTGCATTCTGGGGACACAAAGACACAGGTTAGGGGTGGTCTCACCTGTAATGGTCACTGTCTCCACTGAGGAGGCTAGGGCAGGACCAGACCACTGCTCAGAAGAAGCTGATCAAGGAGATTCAACTGAGGAGTTAGTACAGGCTGAGCCCAGATTCTCTTGGATCACTTGAGGCCAGTCTGAGGGGCACAGATGCCATGTGGTCTCAGGCTGGGTCGGCCCTCTGAGGGAGTAAGACCATGAGTCCCATCAAGATGGCATCAGGGTACCAGGGGGAAATGCAATGGTAAGGGTTTGATCTGTGAATCATAGTACAAAAGGACTACATAACCCCCATGTCACACACTCACACCATACACTCACATACCTGGGCCCTCTAGCACATATATCACATACAGACAAACAACACCTGAGTATACACACATACTTCCCCTAACACATATACACACACCTCACACAAATACTTTCCTTCTCTTCTGATGTGTTTAGAGTCATTCTACAGACAAGTCTCCTGAGCCATCTGGACAAGGTTCTGACACCACTTACTGGACCTGATCACCCCTAAAATCATGTGCTTCCTCAAGGCCTGAAGCTACCCCATAGTGTTCAAGGCTGGTACCCCCTGGATACCATAGTCCTGGAATTCTTTTTTTTTTATTTTTTATTTTTTTTCTTTTTTCCAGTCGTGGGGCCTGAACTCTGGGCTTGGGTGCTGTCCCTCAGCTCTTCAGCTCAAGGCTAGCACTTTACCACTTGAGCCACAGCGCCACTTCCGGCTTTTTTCTTTTTGCTTATGTGGGGCTGAGGAATTGAACCCAGGGCCTCGAGCATGCAAGGCAAGTGCTCTACCACTGAGCCACCTTCCCAGCCCCAGTCCTGGAATTCTTATAATACATCTTGGCATTGAAAAAGCAGGCAGCCAAATGGACAGAGTCAGGGACTTTACCATCAAGGCTGTTCTACCCCTGGTCCTAAGATCCTTATATCCTCACAGAAATGGAGGGACAATGGTGATACTTACTATGTTGAAAATGAACTATACAACTTGTATATGGGGATGGAGGGGAAAACTGGGAGAGAGTGAGAGCAGGGGTAACATTGTCCAAAAAGATATGTACTCTTACTTGACTTGTGAACTGTAACCCCTCTGTATATCACCTTTATAATAACAATTTTTAAAGGGGAATAAAAGATCCTTACACCCTTAACATCTTAAACAAACCAAAGTCAGAGCTTCTGGATGGCCACAAACCAGGACAGCAAGGAGCTTTGGCAGCTTACTCATTCCAACCCACCTGGACCAAGTTTGGGAGGGAAAATCACACAAAAAGTTCCAAAAACAAAAAAACAATGGTTGGGTACTGGTGGCTCACACCTGTAATCATAGCTATTCAGGAGGCTGTGATTTGAAGCCAGCTCAGGCAGGAAAGCCCATAAGACTCTTATCTCTAATAAATTACAAAAAAAGTTAGAAGTGGAGCTGTGGCTCAAGTGGTGGAGTGCTAGCCTTGAGCAAACAACTCAGAGACAGTGCCCAGGCCCGAAGTTCAAACCCAAGAACCAAGGGGGAAAAAAGTTCCCAGCTAGGCACCAGTAGCTCCTAGCTACTCTGGAGGCTGAGATCTGAGGATCACAGTTCATAGCCAGCCCAAGCAAGAAAGGCCATAAGACTTTTATTGCCAATAAACTACTCATAAATAGCTGGAAGTGGCGCTGTGGCTCAAGTGGTAGAGCACTAGCCTTGAGCAAAAGAAGCTCAGGGATGGTGTCCAGGCCTGAGTTCAAGCCCAGGACAGGCAAAAAACAAAAGTTCCCAGAAGATCCCACTTGCAGCTTGCTCTGAAACCTCATAGTGTGTCAAGTTAGAGAGAAAGGAAAATGCATGATTCTGGAAAACTGTGTTTTTCTTTTTTTCAGATTTCCTGTCATGCCATAAAGTAGGAACTGAGTCCTATAGAAAGCAGGGCTAGGAAAGTAGTGGCCACATCATGAAGAACCAGGGAAAGAGGAAAGGGATAGGGAAACAAAGGACGCCATCCCTCATCCCCTAATCTCCCATCCCCAACTGCCTTCCTAGGGGGCTAGAGGTGAGACTGACCACCAATTGGAGCTCAGTGCCTGAATTAGATGGCAGCTCTATTGCCATATCCATCATTTGGTAGGGCAGAAGTAAAGCTGCCACATCTAATTTATAGGTACAAGTGGTTCCCCATCTGACCCTGACTGGTTCTTAAAAGCCATATGTACACCCATGCATGATGTTTCACATTCCATTGCTCCCAGTGGTTCTCTAGGACCTGAGGAGCCCACTGAGGCACCTTGACTATCCTTCCTGGTCCCAGGGACCAGGGCCACTCACCTCTGTGCATTGCTTGGACTCTGTGAGAGCCTCGGAGCTGGGGTTCATAGGAGTTACTGGTTCGCTCAGGAAGCATGCTCTGCAGACACGGCTCTGTCTGCTGTTCTCCGCCTTGAACTCAGAGCACTTCCCACAGATGACCTGCAAGACAGAGGGTATCTGTGACCCCCACAACCTGGGTGGAGGAACAGGAGACACCTAACAGTGTGTTTATCCTGGCCTGAGGCAGGGAGCTGGGAACCCTGTCTGAGGACAGAGATTAAGGGTGTCAAAGATGGCCTTGAATATAAGGACCAACATGGCAGTAAGAAAAGTGAAGACCCATGCAAATCAAAACCCTAAGGAGAAGCCACTCATGTCCCTCAGATGTTGTTATCCCTCCCTAACAGGAAATAACAACTCTGCTGTTGTAGAATATGGAATAGTACAACTGCCATGGGAAATCATATGGAGGTTCCTCAAAGAGGAACAGAGCTGACTATCAATGACTCAGACTGAAACTCTAGCTACTCAGTAGGCTGAGACCTGGAGGATCATGGTTTAAAACCAGCCTGTTTAGAAAAGTCTGCAAGATTCTGTCTCCAATTAACCAGCAAAACACTATACTGGATGCATGGTTCAGCTATGAACAACAACAACAACAAAAGCCAAATAAGAATATGGGGGCCTATGTTTAACCCCCTGAACTGGCATTTAAAAAAAAAGAAGTAAGAGGAAGGGAAGTGGGGGGGAGAAAGAATAAAGAAACAATGACCATATATCCATCAACATCAATGTCATTTCTGGACATTTATTCAAAAGAAGCAAAGGCATGTGTCAGTGGCTCACATCTATAATCCTAGCTACTCAGGAGGCTGAAATCTGAAAATGCATGAGACTCCAATTCACCAGCAAGAAAACAGAAATGGTGCTGTGGTTCAAGTATTAGAGTGCTAGCCTTGAGTGAAAAAGGTAAAGGACAGTGCCCAGGCCTTTAATTCAAGACCTAGTACTGGTGCTCATCTCTCTCTCTGTCTCTCTCTCTCTCAATCTCTCTCTCTCTCAATCTCTCTCTCTCTCTCTCTCTCTCTCTCTCTCTCTCTCTCTCTCACACACACACACACACACACACACACACACACACACACACACACAGAGGAAATGGAAATGGAAAGGGAAGGGAAGGAAAATACAGGAATGGAAAGGAGAGGAGAGGAAAGGAAAAGAAAAGGACCATGTACAGCCATGACCACTGCAGCACTATTCACAATAGAAGAGGTGGAGGCACCCAAATGCCTGTCGATGGAGGAATAAGAAAATCATGGATTATCCCCACAGTATGATATTATCCAGATGGGCAGGCACTGAATGTACTTCCCACTGGATTTAAACCAAGGGATGTACCTCAGTGAGTCCTCCAGAGATCTCCCTAGCCTGGATCTCACCCTCCCATCCTACCCAGAGTCCTCTGCTCCAGGGTCTTCTCCTATCAGCTATCCTATCTCTCTTGCCTCAGTATTTCTTCCTCGGCTGCATCTTACTCCTAGCATCTAAATCTCTCCTGTCTCAGCACCTTCCATGCCTCCCTTCTTTCTTCTCTCCTGGGCATTTGCATGCCCTTGGCAGACACTCCCTGAGTTATACCTTGGCCTCCTTGTGACCAACTACAGGACAGCTTTGGCCTTACCACCTGCAAGTCCTTGCAACATGAACTTCCTCTCCTGGGATGCTCACCCCTCTTGGACTCTCTCACATATCCTGTAGACTCTTTGTATATTAGGCCCATTCCTGGGCCTGGCCAACTGAGCCTTCCTTCCCCTATCCCTCCTCCCCCCAGCCAATATACTGGCACATGCTGGCCCGCTCTCCATATCGGTTAGCTGCCTGGGCTCCTCCCCAACTTCCACCACAGCACAGGCTGTGGTAAGTCAGCTCCCACACTACTTCCTCTTCCATTCCTTCCTTATTAGAGATGACAGACATCAATGTCTCCTACCTGCTCTCTGCTTGGTGTGATCAATAGAACCCACTGTGCAAATCTAGAAGCACCCTTTTCCACCTGGCCTTGATGGCTTCCCTAAGCCTATGTTCACGTTGGGCTTGGGCCATGGCCTGTGGGTATCTTAGGCTCTCAACATTTCAATGCCCAATCTACCCAGCATGTCACTCATCCATCCATTCATCCATCCATCCATTTATTTGTCCATCCATCCAACCATCTACTCATACATCCATTCATGGTCCATTAATCATCCATCTAACGAATCAATCATCTCTCCATCTACCCATCTCTCCATTTATTCCTCCCTGTCCTATCTTATGGCCAGCATGACAAGGTTTTTATGGAAAGGTGCAACAAGGAACACCAAGTCAGGCTGCTAGCACCCTTTGGAACAAGTTACAAATCATCTTCATGGTGAGATCTCTCCCATCCTCAGAGGGAAAGGTAATTTTGATTGAGTGAATGAGAGAGAGAGAGAGAGAGAGAGAGAGAGAGAGAGAGAGAGCTTGTACTGAGGCTTGAACTCAGGGCCAGTACCTTAGCATTTTCACTCAAGGCTAATTCTTTCTCTACCACATAAGCCACATCTCTACTTCTGGCTCTTTGCTGGTGAATTAAAGTCTCATGCATTTTCCTGCCTGGACTGGCTACAAACCATGATCCTCAGATCTCAGCCTCCTCAGTAGCTAGGATTATAGGTGTGATCCACTGGAGCTAGCAATTTTGATATCTTAACCTAAACGTATTTGAATAATCAGCAACTTGCTCAGGGAAATTTCTATGTTCAGGATTAAGAAATGACTCAGGATAGTACTTCTGCCCTGATCACAGCTTTACCCGTCTCTCACCTCCTTCACACTATACATAAGAACGCTATCACTCCTTTGTTCTCAAGGGTACTATTCTCAAGGCTAGGGTGTGCTGTGGCTCCAAATCTAACACTTTTTCAACTTCAAAGAATATCAGGCACCAGCACCAGAGGTGATCAAAGAAATGTGGTCAGCTTCTGCTTAAAAGGGACAATATCATGTTCAAGGGCATCTGCATCCAAGAGATGAGATCTGCATGCAACGGTTTGTTTTGTTTTGGTGCCTGTACTGGGGCTTGAACTCAGGGCCTAGGCATTATCCCTTTGCTTTTTCACTCAAGCCACGAGAGCCTCAGGTCCACTTCAAGCTTTTATATTAGCTAACTAGAGAAAAGAATTTCCTACCTGACTTGGCTTTGAACTGCAATCCTCAGATCTCAGCCTCCTGAGTACCTAGGATTACAGCATGAGCCACTGGCACCCAGCTGAATGCACATTTGCCTGTCCACTGCGCAGTTTACAGAGAGGCAAACAGCTGTGTACATGGAAGGCAAACAATGCCTGTTACCCAATGGTAGTGGTTGCTGCCCATCACAAGGACCTGTGAGAACCCAGCAGGTGACTATCTGCCCCTTGTCTGAACAGGTGCTTCCTTCTCATGGCCCACTCACCGCCCCACAGAGTTTGCAGTGATGTCTCCTCTTGGTGATGGAGTTGAAAGTCTCCCCACAACTCTTGCAGTTCTGCTTTTCCTTGTCACGTCTGGTCTTAGAGGATAATTTTCTGGACTCAAACTACAAGGAGGGAAAAAGCTGCTATTAGTTATAAAGCATGTGGTCCACTAGATGTAGAGGAGCGGCTCAAAATTACACAAGTGAGCTGGGCGCTGGTGGCTCATGCCTGTAATCCTAGCTACTCAGGAGGCTGAGATCTAAGGATGGTGGTTCAAAGCCAGCCTGGGCAGAAAAGTCCCATGATACTCTTATCTCCAATTAATCACCAGAAAACCAGAAGTAGTGCAGTAGCTCAAGAGGTAGAGCACTTGTCTTGAGCTGAAGAGCTGATAGACAGAACCCAGGCCCAGAGTTCAAGCCTGACCAAAAAAATAATAATAATTACACAAGTGACACACACGCAAGGCCCAAGTATACTAATGCATAAGGAAAGAAAGAAAAGGGCCAAGCTATCCTGGAAGACTTAGTCTTCCCCAGAGAGATTGTGGGCAAGAGGATCTGGGTGAAGCTGGATGGCAGCTGGCTCATCAAGGTCCATCTGGACTGAGCACAGCAGAATAATGTGGAGCACAAGGCTGAAACTTTTCTGGTGTGTATAAGAAGCTCACGGGCAAGGATGTTAATTTTAAATTCTCAGAGTTTCAGTTGTAAAGAAAGATGACTAAATAAAATATAATTCATAGTTTAAAAAAAAGAAAGAAAAGAAAAGAAAAAAGAACCAAGCTGGCTACACCTTCCCTCCCAGCCCCCTCCCTACAGGCCACCCAGAACATCACACATTATATGGAGAAATGTTCCAGGCAGATCAGGTTCTTTATGTTTAGAACAACTTGACCAATGACTATCTGGCATGTCTGAAAAAATATGAATGAGAGCCAAAGCTGGAGAAAAACCAAGTGTACTACACAGATGGCACATGACACCTGAGGCTTGGATGTCACCATCTGCAGCTCCAGAGTCATAGGGGTTCCAAGATCCTTCACACACACACACACACACACACACACACACACACACGTTCTGTGTTGGGTACTCAGGGATAGCCTCACTGTGCCCTTGCATACCCCCATGAACAAACATAATATGTGTACCCATATGCCTACAGGTGCCAACTGAACAGAAGCATCTAGTAGGGTGATGTGCTCATATGCTGTCTCCTGTGATGCTGCCTAAACACAGGACATTGCTCACCTGGCACTGACCAATTGAGCCTCAGTTTCCCTTACAAGCAGTGCAAGGCCAAACATATCTATCATCCACTGCTCTGTCATCCACTAGCCAGGATACCCTGTGTGGTTTCTCTGATGCTCAGGGCCACAGTTAAGATTCCAAGCCCACCACATAGCAAGTATGCATCCCAGACTCCATATGCAAACCCCATGCTCCCCTGGCCTCAATTCCCCAAGTACCAGCCTTGTCTAGTCCATGCAGGGCTTCTTCTTCATGAGTCTCTCAGGATTGCAAGAGTGGGGGCAACATGCAGGAGGACACAGGAGCCCAGAGCATGGAAAGGAAAGCAAGAAGAAAGATGACAAGAGAGGGGAAGGAGGCATTTGCTCTGGTCCTGTAGCCTCCATCCTATGTTCACCTTCAGGGTGTCCACCTCCCTTTGTTTCAAGTAAGCAATCTGAGGGTCAAGTTGGTGGGTATGGTTGAGAGTCAGATGGCCCTAACATATAACTCGGGGAGGGTGGAGGACCTTGGCATGATACTCAATGGGCAGCTTTTCATGGTGCCAGAGAATGTAAGAAGTTATGGCAGCCACCAGAACATCTATGAGGGGCCAGCACTAGAAGATATAGGAAAAGCCTTGATGGGCTGATGTATGTGGCCAAGAACTTGATCTTTGGAACCAATGAGGACCCTGTCTCAGACAAAGCTCAAATGGAAGTTCCTGAGGCAGGTAGAACTTCAAGACTGAGGCCAGTACTATGGGTTCCTCTAGTTCCCTTCATCTGGCAAGTGTTTCCTGTTCAGTACAACAGAGCAAAGCCAAGCACCCAAAGAAAGTACCCCTCCTGCACCTGATCCTACCTGATCCTATAATGTTGAAGCTTACAGCACATTGGGGTTCACCTTGATATGGCTTTATCTCCCATCACCCCAGGTTCCAAGTACAGAGGTCTGGTTGGATCTGTAAATTGCAGTTGACCAGCTGGCCAAAGGAGATCTCATTTGTAGTCCAAGAACAGGTCTCCCAGTCAAATATACTATAGTTCCTTCTTAGATGAGGTTGTCAGGCAGAGTTGAGCAAAGGAAGGGGACTCAGATTTTCCGTATGCATGTCAGACAGGCTGTGCTCAAGTCTGCTTCATGAAGGTGGAAATTAAGGCTTCCATAGTAACTGCCAAGCACCTCCAACGTTAACCTGTAAATTAGTTTCTATAGAAGGCCAACAGGGCAATTCTGCTTCTCTTTGACAAGGTTAGCTGTGCAGAATGGGATTGGGAAGACAGCTCAAAAACATGGATTTGGACTCCCATAAATGGCCATGATGAAACTGCATCAGTTAAAGCAGGTAGTAAAGAGACCTAGCCATAGGGATCTACATAGACAAAAGCAATGGGCTTCAGGCATGACCTAGAATCATTTCCACAGGAAGTGGCCAACAGAAGCCTCTCTACTGCTCGCAGGGCCCAAGAATGGGCACAGGGTAAGGTCTTATCCAGAAGGACAGCTGCAGCATTGTGAGAAAGCCATTGACCCAAAGTTGGCCAGGGCCAGTACCTCGCTGGCATCTTAGATGAATCTGTATGTCACCCACTGTAGATCTAGAGCCCTGGAGGATGAGGCAGGAGGGGGAAGCTTTTAGATTCTGGTTTTTGTGTTTCTTTTAAGAGAAACTGGACTTTGGCAAAAAGAGAAAGGCTTTGAATCCTGTCAGGTTCCTTGCAAACAGTTCTGGGCTGGACCTTCCCCCTCTCTTAGGTTTTTTCCCCCTTCTTTTCTTTCCTTCTCAACACCCCCCTGCCCACCCCCAAACCCCCGCCCACAGGCAGTCCTGAGGTTTGAATTCAGAGTCTTGGGCTTGGTAGGCAAGCACTCTACCATTCAAACCACCCTCAGCAAGTCCCTCTCTTAGGGAAGAGGGGCTTCTGGGACTGTACAGCTGAAGAGATTGCAGCTTTGGAAATTAAACCATTGTATCATGAGTGCATTTGTTTTCCTCTCTGATTATTCTAAGAAAAGGCTTAAATTTGGATTCCTATAGCAAAGACCATTCTTTGATGGCAGCATTATGATTTGCTTTCGGGGGTGTGAGGGGGATGTGTGGTCTTAGGGATTGAACTCAAGGCCTCATGCTTGTTACACAGGTTTCCTACGACTTATGTCACTCCACCAATCCTTTTTGCATTGGTTATTTATGAATAGGGTCTCATTTGAGTCCAAGCTGGCCCAGGATCCTCCTATTTGTGCTTCTCCAAGTAGCTGGGAATAACAGGTACGTGCCACTGTGCACAGTTACTGGTTAAGACAGAACTTTTTTTTTGGTGTGTGTGTGTGGGGTGGGGGAGGTTGGGAATGGGAGTTGGGCTGGCCTTGAACTGGGATTCTCTGATCTCTACCTCCCAAGTAGCCAAGATTACAGGCTTGAGCCACTGTGCCTGATCTAAAATTGCTTTTGAGCATGCATTTGATGTCCTGAGCACATGAACACCTTCACTTGGTTGTTCAGTACCAACTAGCAGATATTCCATGAACCATCAAAATCTCAGATCAGCTCAGGGAAGGAGCCAATGGGAAGTATGTGCCTTTTTCTACTGCCGGAACAGAGAGACCTCAGGCTATTTGTTGGAGGAAGGACCCACCCCCGCTTGGTGCAGGTGAAGGGACATAGACAAGGAAGCCAGAACTGGATCTGTGACCCCTGATCTCCTGGTGGCTGTGGGATAAATGCTGGAGATCCTGTAGAAGGCTAGACCCCAGGATAGAAGGCAAAGAAAGTGAGGTACATGTAGCATCTAAGTGTGGTTATATTCCCAGGAAGGAATTCTGGTGACCAAAGGACATAGTCTGAGGCCTCAACTTGAGGCTTCCATCAAAGAAGTAGGTGTCCAGTAGGCACAGCCCCTGTGTCAAGCATCCAGAAGCTTCCGCCCAGAGGAAACTGAGGCTTGAGTGGGCAACACTTGCCTGAGCCCTCAATCCAGGGCCAGCTCTGAGCCTGTCTTTCTATAGTATAAAACATTTTAAAACATGGCCTGTCAGGTTCCTTCCAACTAGAATACTCTAAGCACTGACCCAATACCCTCCACAATAGGACTCCATCTCCCAAGGAGATATCTTATGCTAAAGGCTCTGAAGCCCACCCTGGTATCACTGTTCCTACAAACTGCTTGACACTTTTTAACCAAAGATCCACCATGGATTCTTGGGACACTGAGGGCCCTTCTCTAGAGCCCACTGGCCCAACCTCAGGAAGAATCACACAGATGAGAATCTGGTAGCTTTCTTATCTTGATCTTCTAGTGGCCAGCTAGTGACCAGTGACATTTTCACAAGGCTGAGGACTGCAGGAACTTGCAGTCCAGGGTATCATCAGAGATGAGGACCTTCTTTGACCATTCTGGCCAAGGGATATGGGGCTGACTGGGGAGTACTTCATACATATGTGTGTGGGTTACAGAGTACTCAGTACAGAATACTGACCAGGTGATGGTTAATATACCCCTCTGGCAGCTCAATCAGTAGGTGCAGCCATGCACACAATGGGTGCACACTGCTTTCCATACATTCCTAAATGCTCAAGAAAAGGGATTAAAAAGCCTTCCTGAGGGTTAGTACAGCCAGCATAATTACACATATGGTTTAGCAATTTGGAAAGTTGTCGATGGGAGGATTTGTAATGGGCTGATTCACGTAAGGAGCTCCCTAGAACAGGCCATAGGCAAAGGCCAACAAAGGCCTCAGTCAAGTAGCATCAGGGAGGCCAAGGCTTTGAGGATGGAGGGAGCAGGAAGTAGGCATGGCCAGATGAAAGCAAGAAGCTATTGGGAGAGTTGAGATATTCTTTTCCTCTGCCCTGTTGCCTTGACCCTGGTCACACTTCCTGATTTTTTTCTTTCTTGCATATTGATTTATTCTCCTTTATATATATGCCCAAGATATATATCAAGATAACAAGGTAGGTCTATTTTTAATGTTTAGCGGAACCGACATACTGATTTGCATTTACTAGTTTATGTTCCCACCACTAGTGTATGAGGGTTCCTTTTTCTTTTTTTTTAAATTTAATTTTGTTGTAAAGGTGCTGTAGAGAGGGGTAACCATTATATAAGTAAGGTAATGAGTACATTTCTTGTTGAACATTGTTACCCATTCCCTTGGGGTTTTTTCCACTATCCCTCCCCCTATCCCAATTTTTAATATCAGCCATATTTCTCCTCTGAGTGCTTGTCTGCTCTTCAGAAGCCCGACAGCAGCATCACCTAAAGAGTCCCTCCTCTTGCTTTTTATCTTGGGGTTCTCTCCTTCCCTTCCTCCTACTCCTGTTCCTGAAAAGCTTTATCTTTCCCCAAAACTTCACAAGCTTTCTCCAGATTGTTCAATGTCGGGGATCCTGAGCTCCACAGACCTGAGAAAGCTCAGGTCATAGGGGAAGAAGCAGAGTGCTATCCAGGCCCACCCATGGCTTTTGGCGCTTTGGCCCCATGGCTCCATTCTATCCCTAAAGGGGGTAGTTGTCACACACTGACAATCTAGGTCACCACAGGAATGAATGATGATTCCATAGGAATCTCCTGCTTTCTACTCCAGGCTGGCTCTGTAACAGCAGCCAGTCCTTTTCCCTACCTCTAGGCCAACTCACCTGACCACCCTGAGCTTGCCCTCTCCTCTTAAATGGGGCTACGTGACAGAACTCAAAGGCAGCAACATAACTTAACAGGGCTTGTGTTCACAGAGAGCTGGAGGGCTGGAATTTATGATCAGGCAGAGTCATCAGCTGCTCTAGGACAGGTAGTCCACACCTGTCCCAAATGCAGAGTAAACTGGGCTATGTGTGAGAGACAGAGAGACAGAGACAGAGGGAAAGAGAGGGACAGAGACAGAGACAGAGAGACAGGGAAATCTAGAAACAGGCAGAGGAGGGATAGAAACAAAGACAGACAGACTGGCAGACAGAGAACATACAACAGACAGAAGCAGAGAAGAGAGAAGACAGAGAGAAAGAAAGGAAAGAGAAATCATGGAACTGACAATGTAAGAGAGATATAGGCACAGCAATACAAAGATAAAGTCAGAATGAGAGACAGAGACAAGGAGAAAAGAGAGGGAGATAGAGAACACGCATGAGGGAAAGGAGGCAGATGTGGGGAAGAGGATGTCTTGCTGAGCCCTGAGGTGTTATATGGAGAAGACTCCAGAGGGAGAAAGAGCCCGTGTCAGGGAGGGACCAAGAGAGCCTTGAGCCAGCTGCTGCTCAGGATGGTTCTGGGCTCCCGGTCACCACCAGTGCTGGTAAGTGTGGGGCCCCATAGCTAACAATGTGGCTCAAGTACTGGAGTTCACTGTGTCCTCAGCCTAGTTTACCTCCCCAGATAAAGTAAGGGAGAAGGGCTTCCTCAAAGGTCCCGCACTGAGCCCCTGGAGAACGGGTGTGTGAACACAGGCAGCTGTGATGGGAAGGGTGGGAGATGGCATGGCCTCAAGACAGACAAGCACTCAGAGAGGTGAGGAGACCGTGTTCTTCTTATCAGCTCCTGGTGAGCTTCTGGGGTGAGGAATAAACCTATTTTCTTTGCATTTCTGGGGTGCTTATAAGAACCTAGCACCTCATTATGACATGTTTTATCAAGACATGATTCATACAGAGCAAGAGCATAATGTTCACAGGGAGAGCTCAGAGAATTCCTCCATGGGCACACAGCTAAAAGAGGACCACCAACAGCTCCCCCATGACCTCCATCAAGAGGCTCCAGTCATGACCAGGCTGGCCCCCAAGTCACCAACACCTGACCTCAGGCATAGCCTCACATTTGAACACCATGCCCTGAGCAACTGGGGTGGGGAGAGGGGGAAGGGACAGGTTGACTCTTCAGCCGTCAACCTCCAGGTCACCCTGGTCAGATCCCTCCCTGGTACCTCCTATCCCTGCTGACCATTGACGGAGAGGGGTCACTCACCCCTGTGGCATTCCCACTGCCGTCAGTCACCCCCACAGGCTCCACAGAACTTGTACTCACCACCTAGAAAGGAACCCAGACGCTGAATGTAAGATGGCTTCCTGGCCATATATGCTGGGCAGTGGTGAGGGAGGGTTTCTCAAGGTAGCACCCCAGTGCAATGAGGGCACAGTTCAGTGACTCTGAGGAGATGCTGTGCTTCCTGAGCCTGCTCCTGAGCTGAACACATCTGGCAGAATTAGCATTTCCCAGCTAATGGTGGGCACTCCCAGGTGAGATCTTTTGTGACCCACCTTGATCAGAGGCTCTAGATCACACCTATGGCACAGGGAGGAAGTCTCTGTGGGTTCCCTCCTCATCCTTCAGGGGGTCTTTGTGGAGAGTCTGAAGACCCTCATGCCTGCAGGGCTCAGCCTACTAACAACAGCATGACATCCAGTTTAACACCTTCTGTCTCTAGGTCACCTCCACTTAGGGAGCACAACGGAACCTTCCTTCCCAGGAGCAGTGCTGTTTTCCTCTAAAATACGTCCAGGAAGCAGGGGATGGGGGAAACAAATAGATGTGATGCAAATGTCAGGTGATCAGTAGACCTTGTGAGGGCCAGGAAGACAGGGCTAACTGGAGGGAGGTATAGAGCTGCTGGGTTTGGCTGAACAAGGTAGTTCTTCCACATGTACCCAATAAGAGTGGGGGGCCACCACTGAACACTGAAAACAGCATGGGCCCAGGTGACATCTTCCAAGATGTCTTTGCTATGGTTTCAGACTCTCTTGACACTGTCCCAGAAATAGCCATTCAGGACCCTTCCTTGCACTGAGCAGAGATCAACATCCACATCCAATTCTCTCTCCCTGACTTCACAGAAGGAGGGAGAAGAGGAAGGGCCAGGGTTGGTCTGGGGCCTCAGCCTCATCTGTCCTGCATGGATACTCAATGGAGACCCTGCTGCCTACCTCCCCACAAGGCCCCAGGACAGCTCCATAAAAGACAAGGGATAAGATGCCCTGGGCTCTGATTTGACATCCCTCAGAATAGAGAGATTGGGAGAGATAATACAACTGCAGAGAGAGAGAGAGAGAGAGAGAGAGTTGTCTGCCATTACTGGATATCCTAGGCTGGCCAAAGTAACATGCAGGAAGGGTACTGTGGCACCCATGTCCCTGAGCCAGAGTTGGTGGCCCTGATGCCCAGTAGGCTGCAGTGGCTACTCAGTAAAAGTAGTCAAGGTGCCCACCCACAAACCTGCTCCTCTCTCTCTAGCAGCCGGCCATCGCCCTTCCTCCCTGACCCAGGCTGCTGACTCACAGGTGAGTCTGGAGACAAGGTGGACTCCTCATCCTGGCTGCAGGCACCACTGAAAGCTCTGAAGGTCTCACTGTTCTGCTTGTGCTTCTCGATGGTGGCCTGAATGACCTGGACACAGAGCAAAGCCACAGGGCTGTCAGAGAGTAAGGTGGGGGGCGGGGGGAGGGAAGAGGGGCACTGAGCCTGCCTCTGTCCTGAGCATGAGGTCCTGGCACCGATGGAGCCTCCGGCCATCTTAGTTCTTCTTCTGAATGAGTGATGTGGATAAGAGGATCTGCTTCAGAGAGATACTTAGCTCATGGCCCTCTCAGCTCATTCACATCTATTCTTTTGTTTTTCATGGGGAAGGGCTCTTAGAGGTGATGTGGCATTTGAAGGTGCAAATGCAAGCATGTACTGCCTCCCTTCAGGGTAGGATCCAGGGACAGGTATTAGCAGCCCTGGAGGAGAAGAGCTTGGGGTCACCCCTCTACTCTAACATGAAATGGACTTGGGGATTTGGTTACTTCAAAACTTTAGAAGTTTCACCTGAATCCATTCTTTCTTCTCTTCTTCTGTCCTATAAAAACAAAAATTGTATTTTATCAATCCCATCATGGCTACTACTCACAATAAACCCCTGAGGCCTGGAGCACATACTTAGCCATTCACAGGTCAATGCTAGAAGGTTGGCTTGTGGGGGGACTTGCATGCTATGTAGTGGATTGTAGGCCAGTGCTTGCCTGAACCCTAGTGGGCAACTCTAGAGCTTTCACACTACTGATGGCCAAATTTCCCACATACCACCAGTGAGAGCACAGGCCTGCCTTTAGAAGGTAATGTGACAAAAGGCACTGAAATATGGTGGCTATTGAAATTATGTACTATAATGTATAAAATAGGCATTACACATTATCATATCATGTATGTTACATGTTATATATCATATATTTTATATTTCTATGCATACGTAATATATTTCCATACACAGAGAAATTTCTGGAGTATATATGGAATGGTTAAAAGTGTCTACCAGATCTGAGAACAAGAAGTAGGCAAAGGCTTAATTTTTCATTGATCTCCCCTTGTTACTGTGAAATGTTGAACAATGAATAAATAAATACATAAAAACATATTGATAGGTTACTCCATTTAAGAAAAGAAGCCATCTGCTGAAACCTCAGATCAAAGACATTCACTGAGCATCAGACTAGAGAAGGCCTGTGCCATACCGAGTCTGAAGTTCCAAGGACCTTCTTCTTCCCTTTATAGTGAACGTAGGTGCTGCATTTGGCTTGACAATATCCTGTACCTGCAGAGCAAAACGGGGAACAAAACATAAGCAAACACAAACCAGTCACCTTAGTTGCTCCTCAATGACAACCCTACATTGTTGAGTTGGAGATTTTTCTCTGAGGAGGTATCAGAGGCAACTTTGGGCCTTCTGGTCTGGAAGAAAGAGAAACTGAGGTTTGGAGTCATGGTAGCTAATGCTGGTTGCTGCTTAAGCTGGTCCAGAGCTGGAACTTCTTATCCCCTGTATTTGGAATGCTACTGAGAAAACCCATTCCTCAAGTCTCTTCTAGAAGTTTAAAAGTTGCTTCCAGCTACCCATTGCCAGTCTTTCCCCACTGGCACAATGGGCACTGCTTCCCAGCAGTACCACCTCCCTCCGTAGGCCGGATGAGGATCTTATGAAAGAGCCAGGAGATCCTTAGCCACTCTGCGGACATCTGAGCCTATGTGGACAGCCACAGCCTAAGTTTAAAGACTTAAATGGTAAAATGTGTACCCAGACTGAGCTGACAAAAAGGATCACTTATTTGTAAGTTCTCAGATTGTCTCTGCTACCTCAGCATAAGACCACAGAGCATAGTATCAAAACTTGGGAACCCTGTGACCTTCACAGTGATCCTTATTAGAATCCTTATCCCTGATCAGCCAACTGGTGGCTTTAGGGAAATAAAGACTCTGGACACAGCCCAGAATCACAGGTTGAGAACTGCATTAACACATCAGATTCATTAAAACAGGACTAACTCCTTAGGGAGAAACACTGAAAAAGATGTCTTCTGACTATAGAAAAAAATAATATATATTTTCTGTAGTCATTGCTTGCAATTGATGTGTGTGTGTGTGTGTGCGTGTGTGTGTGTGTGTGTGTGTGTGTGTGTGTGTGTGTGTGTGTGTGTGTGTGTGTGTGTGGTGCAGCTTAAGCTCATGGCCTGTGCTGTCTCTTCACTTTTTCACTCAAGGCTGGAACCCTATCACTTGAGTCACAGCTCTTCTATCTTTTTGGTGGTTAATTGGTGTCTTTCCTGCCCAGACTGTCTTAGAATGGAAATCTTCAGATATCTGCCTCCTGAGTAGCTAAGATTACAGATGTGAGCCACTAGTGCCTGGCTGTAATTGTCTTTTATAACCAGTACTAGGACTTTTTTCATTGTCATTTAAGCAAATTTTTAATATTTTGTATTAGCCAATATTTCTTTTTTTTCCCCAGAGCTAAGGACTGAACTCAGAGTCTTGCACTTGCCAGGCAAGTTCTCTTGCACTGAGCTAAATCCCCAACCTCTTATCCAATATTTCTGAAGCACTCATCAATTCAAAGCCCTTCCCACAATGGACAAAATCCATTCCAGTTCCTACTGCTACCATGAGACACAGAACAGGCTCCTAGAAGGGGGGGGGGGGGGGGGAAGGGGAGGATATCAAAGATGTAAAGGTCATTTTGCAAACCATCCTCTGGCTTTGAGAATGCAGCAGAGGAGAAAGCTTGGAGTCTAGGGTCTAGGCTGGGCAAACAGGACCACACTCCATACTTAATTTATCCCTGCAACTCAAGCATCACTTTAGGATATTGCGATGGATCCTGAGTCCCGGCCTCATTAAGTGACAACACACACACACACAAACACACACACACACATCCCTTGAAGCTATTCACTTCCTAACAACCTCATCTCATGAGGCTGGCATGGACCTAGAAGATGGGTCAAGCCAGAGAGAAAGGAATTCTGACTCTCCAGGCCAGGGCACCAGGGCTGAGATGGTATTTTCATAAGTCCTCAGAGTTGGTAGCCAGAAACACTGCTTGGGGTCCCCTTCTGAGAGGGGTGGGGTATGAGGTTCACCTACCTGGAGATCAGAGATGTCCATTTTCTCCCGGACACTGAACTTCTGGCCCATGAGCCGCAGTTTAGGCACACAGTAGAGGACCATGCTGTTGAACTGCAAGGACAGCTTAGTGAGGTCACAGTGAGTTCCTCACAGGGGACCCTTGCAAGCTTTCCTCTAAGGTTGTAGAATAAAATACAGGGTTTTTAAAATCTGTTTGTTTTATGCAAGTAGTGGGGCTTGAACTCAGGACCTCTCACTCTCCTTCAACTTTTATGCTCAAGGCTGGTACTCTGTGACTTGAGTCATGCTCCATCTCCATCTTGCTAGTGGTTAATTGGAGATGAGTCCCATGCCTTTCCTGCCCAGGTTGGTTTGGAACCATGATCCTCAGATCTTAGCTTCCTGGGTAGCTAGAAGAAAAGGTGTTAGTCACCAGCTCCTGGCATAAAATGTACTTTTAAACAGATGTATGCAATCATTTTAGCTATGGATATCTTTTAGAGAGCTGACTAGACAATAGCTTAATTTTCATCTAGTTCTTAGTTTTCAGTTTGTTTACTGTGCATGTGCACTAAGTGTGTGCTAAGAAAACACAACTTTTGAATGAACCACTGACATATGTACAACTATAGATGAATCTCTCAAATGCATGTATCTAGCAAAAGAAGCCAGAGCTGTTTCATAGTGTTTATGCAGTGCTATGAAAAAAAGTAGAACTATAAACATATTAAAATGAACAGGGGCTAGGAGGGTGTTTTCTAAGCAAAGGAGGACCTGGGTTTGATCCCTAACAGCACAAAAAGAAGGAGAGAGACAAGAAAGAGGAAAAGAAAGAGGAAGAAGAGGAGAAAGAGGAAGAGGAGAAGGAAGAAGAGTAGGAGGAAGAAAAAGAAGAAAGAAGAGAAAGAGAAGGAAGGGGAAAAGAAAAAGGGAGAAAATGAAGAGGAGGAGGAAGAAGAAAAAAGAGAAAGAAGAGAAAGAAAAGGAAAGGAGGAAGAGGAGGAGGGGGAGGAAGCTGGGGAGAGGCAGGGGAAGGAGAAGAGAGAGCCCAACTCACCAAGAAGAGGTGACGGTCCTGAGCTGTGCCGTTCTTGGCTGACAGCTTCTGAATTTGGCCCTCCTTTATCAGCTCATTGGCTGGGTTGACAATGTCCTCTTCTCCACCCAGTTGCTCATACACCTCCAGGAGCTTGTGCATTTTTTCCTTTAAGAGACATAGAACTTTGGCAGGTGTATGGTCACAGGGTGACCAAAGGCCTTCAGGGTCTGCTGGGGACCTAGGAGCAAGCTAAATCTTGCCCTGTGACTGCAACCCAGAACCCCAACAGGACAAGGATCCTGCTGACATTGAAAATGAAGGGAAAATGTGGTGACATGTGAGTTGGTTATGAAATGACTAGAGGTTCATCATGTAGTGAATAACAACAACAGTAATAGTGACAACAAATAACAACTACCTCCATTGCTATGTGTCAGGTGCTTTTCTACACAATATGTATTTAATTCTGATAAGATGGCTTCTATTGTTAGTCTAATTTGTAGAAAAAGCAAAGAAAGGTCCATGGACTGGCCATGACTCAGACTGGGCCAATACATATGTCACAGTCCTAGGCCACGATGACTAGATAGATGGTCATGTGGCCAGCCTGCATCCTAAGATTTGATGGGACAGGGGCAGCAACTCCCAGTCCCAGCTCTGAGCTAGAAGCAACACAAAAAAAGGCAGACTGGAGCCTGGAGGGACCTCAACATTAGCAATGTAGTCTGGATCTGTATGCACTGTGCATCCAGACCTCCCATCATTGGACTTGAGTGATCTCAGCCTGTACAAGCAAGCAGCTTAGGCTGGCCCTCTCTGTCTCAAGAATGGATACAGGTGGATACAAGTAGACCAAACAAACAGTATAGGATGTGAGAGTCATGAATGAGAACTGACATGGTGACAGGTCCTGCTCTTGGCACATGATATGCAAGCGATTCTTCCTCCTCCCGCCTCCTCCTCCTCCTCTTCCTCTACTGTACTGTTCTTGGGGCTTGACTTCAGGGCCTGGGCACCGTCCTTGGGCCTGGGCACTATGTTTGAGCTTTTTTTCTCAAGTCTGGTGCTCTACCACTTGAGCCACAGCTCTACTTCTGGCTTTTTTGGTGGTTTAACTGCCCAAGCTGACTTCAAACCATAATCTTCAGATCTCAGCTTCCTATGTGGCTAGGATTACAGGTATGAGCTCCCAGCACCCAGCCTGCAAGTGACTCTTTTAATCCCCAATGAAGCCTTACAGGGCAGCTTCCTCATATGTCTCAATTTCAAAGAGGTACAGAATGCTAAGTAACTGACCAAAGGTCACAGGTGTAGTGAGGAACAGGCCTGTTCAGTTGCAGACAGATCTCTGACCATCCTTGGGACAGCTCCCTTGGAGAGGATGTTCACTGATGTGGTAAGGTGCTTGCTGATGCAGCTCACCTGCTCCCACTCTCCCTGCACGACTTAGAAAATGCTCACAGCAGTTGCACTCACCATTTTCCTAATGGCCGCATTGGAGTGGTTGGCAGCTGTGGAGATGAGCTCCAGAGACCCTGCAGGAGGAGAGCCCAGTCAGCCTGGGCATGTGGTGACTTCATATGGTCTCACCCAAGAGGCTGACTCTGGAGCTTCAGGCAGCTACCCACACTGAGAAGGTGTTGTCCCTGCACTTGACCTTTCTTGAAGGTCCCCAGACACACTACAGGCCCAGCCTAGAGAAGGGGTAGGATTCAATGCCCTGTGGACATAGTCCCTTTGCTGGGCTGCTGGGGCCACTACCAAATGGGATCCTCCACCAGCCCCCTCCTGCATAGACCCCTGTCCTGTGCTGCCAGCCACATTTATCTATGCCCTTGGGCTATGAATGTGTGTTCTCTGCTGACCTCGCAGGGCCCATTGCTGGGGCTTAAGCTTTGGATGGGGCCAGGCAGCAGCACCTTCCTCAGAACCAATGTCCCCTTCACACTTCAGACACACAATGTATTTCTCTACTTTCAAAAACTCTAAGTTATTTCCTGACAATTAGACAATTAGTATTTTCTCTCTCTCCTTTCTCTCTCCCCCTCCATCTCCCCTTCTGCCACCCCCTCCCCCCTGCAGCCTTCCTTCCTTCTGCCTGGCCCCCCACTTTTCTTTTCTGTGCTGGTCCTGGGGCTTGAACTCAGGGCCTGGATGTTGTCCCTGAGCTATTTTGCTCAAGGTTAGTGCTCTACCATTTGAGCCACAGCTCTACTTCTGGCTTTTTGGTGGTTAATTGGAGACAAGATTCTCATGACTTTCCTACCTAGGCTGGCTTCAAATGGAGATCTTCGGATCTCTGCCTCCTGAGTAACTAGGTTATATGTATAAGCCACTGGAGCCTTGCTCATTTCTCTCTTTTTAGCTCTGTCCCTCTTCCCTGTCTCGGTCTTTATGTATCTCTTTTTCTCAACTCTCTATTTGTCTTTCCTTTCCCTTTCTCTACATCTTCTCTCCCTCCCTCCCCCCCTTCATTCTCTCCCCTCTTCCCCCCGCTTATGTCAGCCTTCTGGGGATCTTTCAGGCTTGGGGCCACTCACTCTCTGCATCCTTTCGATCTGGGGCATCTCTGGGGAGCCTCTTCAGATAGTCCTTGAGCAGCAGCTCATAGCGGGGGACCCTCTGCACAGGCTCCAGCATGTGGTGCTGCAGTGTCAAATTTCCACACACCTCTTGTTTCTGGAGGGGGAGAGAGAAAGAGAGAGAGAGAGAGAGAAAGTTTTGGTACCTGAGGACACACACATGGACCCTGTCCCTGAGCCTGCTTCTGGCCATCACAGCCCCAGGAGGCCAGTAAAGCTGCCTACTATTTCATTTTTTTTTTTTTTGCTGGTCATGGGGCCTGAACTCTGGGCCTGGGCACTGTCCCTCAGCTCTTCAGCTCAAGGCTAGTGCTCTACCACTTGAGCCACGGTGCCACTTCTGCTTTTTCTGCTTATGTGGTGCTGAGGAATCGAACCCAGGGCCTCATGCATGCAAGGCACCTTCCCAGCCCCAAAGCTGCCTACTTTTAAAGACATCTTCTACAGCTGGAGAAACTGAGGCTTGGAGAGGCTGAAGGATGAAGCCCTGACTCAGACAGGTTGGCTCTGGACCCAGATCTCTCTCTTCACACACATCCTCATTGAGAACACACGTGCCAGGATGATGTCCTTCCTCTAGAGTTATTTCTCCCTATCCTGATCAACCAGGGCCTGAGCTCAGCTTCACTGTCCTTCCTCAAATGGAATCAAGCTTTGCTCACTCTCCCTTTAGGAAATCAGGACTAGAAGCTGTCCTAAGATGTCTTTCTGCAAATAAACTCAAGTGGGATGATCTTTCTGTGCTGAGACCCTGGTGATCCTGGCCTTACCCAGCACAGCTCATGGCTCCCACACCTCTCCTCTTTCTGGATCACAGATCCTCTTTTCTAATGCTTCACCTCCTCCTCACTGCTGCTGAGAAGTCCAAACCTTGATCCATCTGGCAAGCCCCAAACACACATGTGCTGCTGCCATCACTTCACTGCCTCTGTCTCCCCTTGCATTTTCCTGCCTACACCACCTTATTTCCTCCTCTCTCATGTGATCACTGGCAGTTCATCTTGGCTGAATGGAGCTGATGCTTCTGTTGCCCTGTCCACCTACTGCCAGCCTCTGGCAGCAGCAACAGGTCCTCTGCCACTTATACTTGCCTCAGGGACCAGAACAAAACAACTTTCAGCTCAGATGAGCTCAAAAATGCCTAGGAGCCAGGCACTTGGTGGCTAATGCCTGTAATTTTAGCTATTCAAGAGGATGAGATCTGAGGACTGTAGTTTGAAGTCAGCTCAGGTAAGAAAGTCCGTGGGTCTCCTGTCTCCAATTTATCAGCAAAAAGCTTAAAGGAGGTGTGGTTCAAGTGGTGGAATACCAGCTTTGAGTATAAGAGCTAAAGGATAGTGACCAGGCCCTAATTTCAAGCCCCAGGACCAGCACACACACACACACAGACACACAGATACAGACACAGACACAGACACACACACACACACACACACACACACACACACACCTTGGATACAACAGGACTAGAAATGCCAATCAAAACAATTACTTCATGGGAGAATCATCAAGGGATGAGGAGGCACAGGATATTTAATGATCTCAAAGCATCTCCTTTGCAAGAAACTTATGAATAAGGGAAAAACACCTTACTCCAGGGAAATGCACAAAGGGCCTAAACCAAATTATGGCCAAATCCAAATTGAAGGAAAGTTAACCAATAACTGAGCAGGACAGAGGCCTGTTCTAGATGGAGAGACAACTGATATTGGTCTTAGGTTGAGTTATAGACCAAAAAAATAAAAAAGAACATTATTGAGACAACTGTTGACATCTGAATGTGGGCTGTGGAGCAGATAGTTCTATGACATCAATTCAAAATTCCTCATTTGGATCATTGTGCATGTGGGATAATTGCCTCCTTCTTATTTATTGATAAACAGCTATAGTATCTGTACTTTAGTTTCAAAAAAACTAAAAACTGATCCTTATGTGTGCAGGGAGGATGGTAAACAGGATAGATGTTATCTGCTTATAACACTATGTTATTATTGCCACTCCTCTGTAAATGCTTGAAGTTTTGTTTTCAGTTTAAACAATTTTTAAATCTGTTTTGGAGTAAACAAAGGAAATACTCAGGTGGGTGGCTCATGCCTGTAATCCTAGCTGCTCAGGAGGCTGAGATCTGAGGATTATAGTTTGAAGCCAATCCAGGCAGCAAAGTCTGTGACTTTATGTCCAATTAACCCCTAAAGGCCAGAAGTGGATGTATGGCTCAAGTGGTAGATCACTTACCCAGAGTGAAAAAGCTAAGGGACAATGTCTAGGTCCCAAGTTCAAGCTCTAGTACTAGCACAAAGAAAATTTTAAAAAATGAAAGAAAGAAGCCTTCATCAGTCATAGGATATGCAAACATCATTCAATCCTATTTTGTCTGTGGCAGGGCTTCACAGCCTCAACCTGTGGATCACTAATGTGGATGGTAAAATATTCCCAGCTCATGCCAGGAGCAACATCAAAGTCAACAGATATGGCCTAAGTCTCTAGGAGCAAAGTCTGTATAAAATGACTGAGCTGGGCTGAGACTAAGGTGTAGAATTTTCCCAATGCCTCCCAGCTCAGTGCTCAAAGTCAGCTAGCAACTGGCTATAGACCATGTCTGCCAACAAGTGTCCCCAGCACCACCCATAGCTTAGGACAATTTAGTGCTAGTACGGATATTGCAGACAATTGTCAGACCAATCTTGACAGTGTTTTGTCACCTATGGGCCTGCTGGACCCAAGAGTCTAGTCTGCCCCATCTGAACAGGGGACAGCTACCTAGGCCAGACCAAGCACTTGTCACTTCAGAAGAGAGATGCTCATTGAGCACACATATATCACCATGCTGTGAAGCTGTGTGACGTAGTTTACTGTCACAGCATCTCCTGGGAAACAGACAAAAATCCCAAAGTACAGCCTCCCTCATCCTCATCCTGCTTGATAGGCAACCTGGGAAGAAAACTCAAATACACAACTCAAGTTTGTATTTGTTTTCTGTTCTTTCTCAAAATAACCAAATAAATTTAAATTGGCCATTGCAAATTGAATTTTATTTATTTATTTGTTTATTTATTTATTTATCTATCTATGTTGATCATGGGGCTTGAACTTGGGGCCTGGGCTCTGTCCCTGAGCTCTTTCACTCAAGGCTAACACTCTACCACTTTGAACCACAGCGCAACTTTCAGGTTTTGAGTGATTAATTGGAGATAAGAGTCTCACAGGGACTTTGCTGCCTGGGCTGGCTCGAACCACAATTCTCAAATATCAGTCTCCTGAGTAGCTAGGATTACAGGCATGAGCCACTGGCACCCTATTTTATTTTTGTGCTGATACTGGGGCTTGAACTCAGGACCAAGGCATGCACCCTTAGCTTTTTCACTCAAGACTACCACCGTTGAGCCATACCTCCAGTTCCTGACCATTGCAAATTTAGCAAAAGTTCAACTTCCTCAATCATAGCATTATAATGACAATGATAAAGATGAAAATGAAGGAAGAAGAGAAGGAGGGGGAGGGGAAAAGAGAAGGAAAAGAAAAGCAGCAGACTTAAACATGAGGACTAGAAAGAACACTCAGGCTGCATGGGGCGTGGATGAGGGAGGTGCTAGGGGAGCCCCTGACAATAATTTCCCTTCATAATTTATGGTGCCTTGGCTGTTGATAAGATTGCAATGGGAACACATTCCTGGGAAAGAAACCATGTTGCAGCTTGTATTTTGGAAAACCAGGCTTTGTTCTTGTTTCCTCCATAGGGCACACAACCACAGCACGTGAGCTGTCATAGGATGCTCTATCCTCAAAGAGATTCTATTCTGCTGGTCCCTATCTATTCCCCAGATCTGGGTGTCACTGCAGATAGAGAAGACTGAAACTGCTCTCTCAGATACAGCCTGAACAGACTCCCAGGTGGGTGAGGAGAAGGTGAAGCTTACTGAGGTTGATCACAACTATTTCATGGGAGCAGCTGGGATAAGAGTCAGCAGAGAGGGAGGGGGGCAAAGGGAGACAAGAGGGCTCAAGTAAGGTTATATTTATCTCTCCTCTCTGTGACCTCACACTGCTCCTGAGTTGGAGGTGCTTGGAAGCCATGGGTGATCTAATGATAGGTCCCATGTGGAAAAATATGAGGGAAGCTGGGCATCGGTGGCTCATGCCTGTAATCCTAGCTACTCAGGAGGCTGAGATCTGAGTATTGCAGTACAAAGCCAGCCCGGGCAGGAAAGTCTGTGAGACTCTTATCTCCAATAAACCACTAGAAAACCAGAAGTGACACTGTGGCTCAAGCGGTAGAGTACTCACCTTGAGCTGAAGAGCACAAGGACAGCACCCAAGCCCAGAGTTCAAGCCCCACGACTAACCAAAAAAACAAGAAAAAAGATATGAGGGGTCACCTCATATCTAGGCCCTATCTCCACATCGTCTACAGAGGGCACTCATAGCCCAAGTCCATTAAAATACAGATAGAGTGCAGGAAGAATATATATATATATATATATATATATATATATATATATATATATATATGTAAGGGTGTGCATGTATGTATGGCACAGCCACTCTGTTGTGAATCTGGACTCTTTTGTTTCTGTTTTTGTTTTTGGTTGTGGGGATTGAACTTTGGGCCTGGGCTCTTCAGTGCAAGGTGAATGCTCTATCACTTGAGCCACCATCATTTCTGGGTTGTTGTTTTGTTCTGGTGGTTAACTGGAGATAAGAGTTTCATGGACTTTCCTGCCCTGTCTGGCTTTGAACCATGATCCTCAGATCTGAACCTTCTGAGTAGCTAGGATTATGTGAACCACCAGGCCCCAGAAGATCTGAGCTCTTTCTACATTCTACAATCCAGCTGAAAATTACATGGGAAAGCCAGGAACTGGTAGCTCAGACCTGTAATCCTAGCAACTCAGAAAGCTGAGACTTAAGCATCATGATTTGAAGCCAACTTGAGCAGAAAAATCTAAGACTTATCTCCAATTAAGCAGCAAAAGGCTGGAAATGGAGTTGTGGCACAAGTGGTACAGTACCAGCTATACCAAAGAAGAGTACAGGCCCTGAGTTTAAGCCCCAGTACTGGACACACACACACACATTAGAATAGCTTTTACCATTTTTAAATAAAGACATAAAATTAGAGGAAAAATATAATTTATATCATCTTTGCCAGTACAAAATGCATTTATAGGCTTTTTCAAAAGCATTCTTCTTTCTTTTGTGTATGTGTGTGTGTGTGTGTGTGTGTGAGCACACGTGCGCACGCACACACCTGCATACACCTGTTCTAGTATTTGAACTAGGGGCTTCAAGTTCTCACTCAGCTTGCTTACTCACTTGAGCCATACCTTTACTTTCAGCTTTTTTTGGTGCTTAATTGGAGATAAATATGCCACAAACTTTCCTGCCTGAGCTGGCTTCAAACTGTAGTCTTCAGATCTCATGGCTAAGATTACAGGCATGATCACCAGCACAGCACCTCACTGCATTCATGTTTTTTTTTTTTTCTGTCAGTCGTGGGGCTTGAACTCTGGGCTTGGGCACTGTCCTTGAGCTCTTCGGCTTAAGGCGAGCGCTCTACCGCTGGAGCCACAGTGCCACTTCCAGTTTTCTAGTGGTTTATTGGAGATAAGAGTCTCATGGACTTACCTGCCCAGGCTGGCTCTGCACCGTGATCTTCAGATCTCAGCCTACTGAGTTGCTAGGATTACAGGCGTGAACCATTTTTTTTAATTGTGATTAAGTGATTACATAAATTTCACAAATTTCACAGTATTGTGAGATAGTGATACTTAGTTAAAGTCACAAACACATTTTAACTTTCATGGGATAAATTGTCTTTATTGTGGTCTATAAAGTTTGTGAATTCTATGAGCTTTGACAATACAGTTATTTCTTCCACACTGGGTGATATGTACATTTCTTTCCTCTTGCATAGTGTCAGCTGTTCCCTCTTTCCCCCTCATTCCCTTCTTCCCATTGCTGCCATTGAGTTGTTTAGTTAGTTTTGATCAATGTCTAGTGCAGCTAATGGTTCCTGCTGTTGTATGTTTTCCCCTCTTTCCCTCTGTTTCTGTGTCTTCCTCCTAGTTTCCCTCCGATGTGCACATATGTGATCAGTAGCATGGGATCATTTAATAATGATATGACCAGATGAGTGGAGGTCCTTTGTTTCTCAGGTCTTGTTTACTTTGTTGTATCTCCTTACATGAACCAATTTTTTTTTTTTGGGGTCCGGTCGTGGGGCCTGAACTCTGGGCCTGGGCGCTGTCCCTCAGCTCTTCAGCTCAAGGCTAGCGCTCTACCACTTGAGCCACAGCGCCACTTCTGGCTTTTTTCTTATGTGGTGCTGAGGAATCGAACCCAGGGCCTCGAGCATGCAAGGCAAATGCTCTACCACTGAGCCACCTTCCCAGCCCCATGAACCAATTTTTTTAAGATGTACTTTTGCTGGAAACCAGTGGCTTGTGCCTATAATCATAGCTACTCAAGAGATCTGAGAATTGTGGTTTGAGGGTAGTTCAGGCAGAAAAGTCTATAAGAGTCCTATCTCCAATTAACCAGCAAAAAAGTCAGAGATGTGGTTCAAGTGGTAGAGAGCCAGCCTTGACTAAAAGAGCCAAGTGAGAGAATGAGTTCAAACCCCAGTACTAGCAGTAACAACAACAAAAAAGTAATGCAAATAATTTAAAATAAAAATTTTATATGTCTACTATCAAGATAAGGTTTTTTAAAGATCATTAGGGGAAATACAACTTGTAACAAGAATGATAGATAATACTTTACATTAATATAAAAATCTTGTATATCAATTTTTAAAAGACCAACAGGCAGTAGATAAGAGCAACAAGAATGAGAACAGGCTGTTTGCAAACAAATAAAAGATCAGGGAGACAAATAGAAAGAAAGGATCAGTCTGGGTTCTGGTGGCTCACACCTGTACTCCTAACTACTCAGGAGGCCGAGATCTGAGAATTGCAGTTTGAAGCAAGCCAGGCAGGAAAGTCTGTGAGACTCTTACCTCTAATTAAGCACCAAAAATAAAACCTGGAAGTAGAGCTGTGGCGCAAGTGGTAAAACACTAGTCTTGAGCACCCATGCCCTGAATTCAAGCCCAGGCACCAAAAAAATAAAAGGACATGAAAGATCAATATGACATTCTACCATAAAATCACAGACTGTCCTTGAATCTAGGTTCTATGAAATAATCATTTGTCTTGCTGGATCTTGGTTTTCTCTCTGCCATAGCTGCATGGAATTGATAACTCATCTCGTAGTTAATTTGTGAGGATCAAAGCATCAATCAAGCACCATGACCTATCTAATAATTGTCCCAATTTCTCTATGTTCCCAAATTTCAATAGTTACTTATTACTTTTGGGGGAAGGGGTAGTATTAGGACTTAATCCCGAGGACTTGAGTAGAATTTTGCTTGTGGCTGGCACTCTACAACTTGAGCCATGCCACTACTTCTGCTTTTTCATTTGTTTGTTTTTCTGGCTAATTGGAAATAAAAGGATTCATCTGCCCAGTCTAGTTGTGAACTGAGATTCTTAGATCTCAGTCTCCTAAGTAGTTAGAATTACGGGCATGAGCCACTGGCAGCTGGCTCTCATATGTTTCTTTTTAGAATAAAATACATGGTTTTAAAACACACACACACACACACACACACACACTAGTGTGCTGCCCATGAGGATATCTGCCATGCTTCTGCATACACCCACCTGGATGCTGTGAATTACATCCTTAAATGGCAGTGAGCGCTGGGTCCATGTGCTCACCAGCCCCATTGCTCGGTCGAAGTTCTTGACATACTCGCCATACATCTTCAGGAATGGAGCCAGCTTCTGCAAGATGTCCCCAAGCCGGGGATTCGTGTCCCTTTTGAAGGAGTGAGGTTATCAGAAAAACATCCAGAAGAAATGGGGTTCCCATTTACCAAGGGGCTGTTGGTTGCTGAGGGCAATGCCTGACTCAGTACTATATACTGATGGGCTCATTGGTCACCCTCTCTAAGCCTTTTATCTTCTTAAGTCTTCTGGGGTAGAAAACACTGTTACTGGAAATTAAAAGATAAATGTCTATTAAGCAACTGAAGAACAGGCTGGAGATCAGTGCTCAAAACAAGAGACATTAGTAATGGATCCCCTAGAGTGATGGGCCACAGTCATCAAAAAGGATGAAATACCACTTCACACCTTGTAAGTGTGCAAAGATCAGAAATGACCACTCTAAGCCAATGGCCCATGCCTATAATCCTAGCTACTCAGAAGGCTGAAGATCTGAAGAGTGCAGTTCCAAGACAGTCCATGCAGACAAATCAAAGAGACTTCTATCTTCAGTTAACCATCAAAAAGCTAGAGTGGAGGCATGGATCAAGTAATAGAACACTAGCCTTGAGCAGAAAAAGCCAAATGAGAAGGTGAGGTCCTAAGTTCAAGCTCATTACTGGCACAAAAGAAGGAAAAAAAGAAAGAGAAGAAGGAAAAGAAATGAAAAGAGAAGAGAAAAAAGAAAAGGAAGGAAAGGAAAGGAGAAGAGCAGAGAAAAGAAAGGAAAAAGCAAGACTGCTGGGCATTGATGGCTCACATTTGTAATCCTAGCTACTCAGGAAGCTGAGATCTGAGGATCCTGGTTCAAAGCCAGCCTGGGCAGGAAAGTCTGGAGGCTCTTATCTCCAATTAACCACCAGAAAACCAGAAGTGGAGCTATGGCTCAAAATGCTAGAGTATTAACCTTGAACAGAAGAGCTCAGGACACCACACAGGCCCTGAGTTCAAGCCCCACAACCAACAAAAAAAGAAAAAAGATAGGAAGGAAGGAAGGAAGGAAGGAAGGAAGGAAGGAAGGAAGGAAGGAAGGAGGGAAGGAGGGAAGGAGGGAAGGAGGGAAGAAGGGAAGGAGAAAAAGCAATGACTGTTCTATTCAATCTGCCAAAGTTACGAGGAGAGTAATACAAATAGTAAAAGAACATTACTGGTTTGAACAAGGCTGTGCATTCAAGTTCCAAGAGTGAAAAAACATAGTATCGTATCAGTCTTTGAACTTAATCTCTTTGTTGGAGATCTATCCTAAGTTAATAGTCAAAATCAAAGATAAAAGACACAGTCATAAAGCCATCACTGTGGGGACATGCTTTTTCACATGTGCAACAACAGGACAGCAGATAAGTGGCCACATTCTTGTATCCTTGTCATTAAAGAGGCTGAGAGGGCCACATGTGCACTTACAGTTGAATCCCTGGGGCCTGGAAGGGAAAAGCTTGCCTCTACTAGGATCAGACTTCTTCATCAAGAGGGCTACATCCAGCCTTGGGGACAGAGTGTAACCTGTTCTGCAGCTGACTCTGTCATTCTGAAGAGTCACATGTGGGCAAGCCCTGAGTCACAGGTGAAAAGAAAAAAAAAAAAAAAAAAGCAAAACAAAACAAAAACCCTAGCCAAGCCCTTACGGGACACCAAGGAAAAGCCAGGCCCAGGAAGGAAGCGAAAAGCAGAAGTGCTAGGTTTCTCACAGTAAGGGGAGGCACATAATGAGAATTAGCAGATTAGTGGCTTCTCTTGTGTCATTTCATTAATTGTGGTTTGCAGCCAAGACATCCCTTTGCTAAGAATGGGCCATTGGATTTCATTTTCAAAACATGACTTTTACCAGGTGCCAGTGGCTCATAAATATAATCCTAACTACTAAGGAGGCTAAAGATCAAAGTTCAAAGCTAGACTGGGCAGGAAAGTTTGTTAGACTCTTATCTCCAAATAACCTGTATCAAAAAGCCAAAAGTAGAGCTGTGGCTCAGATGGTAGGATACCAGCCTTGAGCAGAAAAAGCTAAGATAGTGCCCAGGTCCTGAGCTCAAGCCTCAGTACCAGTACAAAAATAAAAGAAAAAGAAAAAGAATGGAGCTGGGTGCTTGTGGCTCATGCCTTTAGTCCTAGCTACTCAGGAGGCTGAGATCTGAGGATCATGGTTCAAAGCCAGCCCAGGCAAAAACCACTAGAAAATCAGAAGTGGCACTGTGGCTCAAAAGGTAGAGCACTCATCTTGAGCTGAAGAGCACTGGGACGGCGCCCAGGCCCAGAGTTCAAGCCCCACAATCGAGAAAAGGAAAAAAAAAAAAAAACGGGCAGAGAAGCAGGAGAAAGGTAGAAAGAGGAGGAGCTGGGTTCTGTTCTTGGGGAGAAAATATCTATCTTGTTTAAAGCAAAGGTACAATATAAAGTAGGAGAGAAAAATCCATCCAACCAGCACTATCAATGTCTTGTCTTGGGTTTCTCAACCCTCATTTAAATTTCAGGAAGTCCTGAGTGGGTGTTAAAATCTTCAAGTTCTATATCAACTTCCTCCAAAGCTATGGCGTAGAAACACGAAATGGCTGGTCAAAGTTCCCCATTAGGAAGGGTAGGGCTGGGACTGGATCCAGGCCACCATAAGACAGTACCCACAGGCTCCTGCCTGGCTTTCAAGCTCCTGAACTCCAGGATTTGGGGCCCTTGGGTGGTTATGGACAGTACTCACCACTCCTCTGTGATTCGTGTCTGCAGCTCGGGTAGCAGGAACTGCCCGTGGAAGCGGTAGATGGAGGAGATGTTTGAGAAGATGCCCGTGGTAACCTCCTGAGGGATGCCTGCTTCTGTCAGCTGGGTGCAGAAAACCTAGGTATATAGAAGTCCCTGAGGGCTGGGAATGTGGCTTAGTGGTAGAGTGCTTGTCTAGCATGCATGAAGCCCTGGATTTGATTCCTCAGCACCATAAACAGAAAATGCTGCAAGTGGAGCTGTGGCTTAAGTACCAGAATGCTCACCTTAAGCAAAAGAAGCTCAGGAACAATGCCCAGGCCCTGAGTTCAAGCTCCAAGACTGGCAAAAAAAAATCCCTGAGTGTGATCCACCATAGACATCTGCTACAGATGGCACTTAGACACAGGGTACAAGAATACCTTATGTGGGGCTGGAAAGGTGGCTCAGTGGTAGAGTGCTTGCCTTGCATGCATGAGGCCCTGGGTTCGATTCCTCAGCACCACATAAGCAAAAAAAGCTGGAAGTGGTGCTGTGGCTCAAGTGGTAGAGCACTAGCCTTGAGCTGAAGAGCTGAGGGACAGTGCCCAGGCCCAGAGTTCAGGCACCATGACTGGCAAAAAAAAAAAAAAAAAAAAGAATACCTTATGTTTTCTTAACGAATCTCAGAGTCATTGTCCTCCCTTGTCATCAAACTGGTTCAAACCACTTCGTGGTCTTATCACAAGTTTATTATGGCTAAGGACTATAGGGAAGGCAGAGGCAGAACCTGGGGAAGGACACATCATTTTCCCTTATCCCTCTCTGGACCTTGGTCAAGACTTCTTTCTCTGGCTTGTAAGATTCAAGCAGAAATAACCCACTCTAAGCCTAGTTTCATTCATTTATTTATTTATTTTTCTACAGTACTGGTTTTGAACTCAGGGCCTCCGGCTTGTTAGGTAAGCACTCTACCACTTGGTCCATATTCCTATTACCTTTTTTGTGTGTGTGTACAGAGGGGTTACAATTAGATGGGCAAGATAATGAGTACATTTCTTATCAAGCATTGCAGCCTCCTCCTTTGTTTACCCTTCACATCCCTTCCCAGCCTCCCCCCCACCCCCCACCCAATCCTCCCCCCACCCCCCACCCAATCCTCCCCCCCCCCCCACACCAAAGTTGTAAAGTTCGCTTTCAACATAACAACTTGTACTTCTCATTGTTGCAATGGGTCCACCAGTATCCTTAAATGACTTTCCCATTACCTTTTGATTTTATTTTTCAGACAAAGGTCTTATGCTTTTTGTCCAGGCTGGCCTCAGATCATGATCATCCTACCTATGCTCCTTGTATAGGTGGGATTATACATACTACCTCCATCTTCTTTGTTGAGAGAGGTTCTTCCTAACTTTTTTCCCAGGCTATCCTTGAACCACAAGCCAACTCATGAGCCTTCTGAATAGATGGGGTTACAGGCTTGAGCTACTGTACTTGGCTACCAAGCCTGGTTTCCATTGGTAAATTTTTTCTCTTGTTGTTTCATGGACAGGAATAAACAGCACCCATGGTCTCAACCATTTATACAGAGAAATACCTAGCAACCATTTATGTACTCAGATAGTCACCAAGACAAAACGTCCCAAAGATTGTAAGATAAGACCTTTGCCCCAGAACCACAAGCACTTTAAAAAAAATACACATTTCTTAATCAGACTTACATTACTCCAACTATAATACCTAATTAATGCTAAGGATGAGGACAGACTTTGCCCTGAAACTTCCCATTGGAATTCTGAGAGTGGACAGAGGTGGGCCCTGAGCTGTATGGATTACCTGGTCCAATAAGTGCAGCCGCTTCACATAGGTCTCTTCAGTGTGCAGGAGTTCCTGGGCAATCTGGAGCAGCTTCTGACAGTGGAAGCATTGTAGAGAGAAAGGAAACAGCTCAATAGGGGGAAATGAGCACCCAGCCAGGGCTACCCGCAGTGTGCCAAGGTGACCAGGGAATGTGGGAGGCCAGAGGAGGCTGCTGATGCTCAGTTCTCATAGATGCTATTTCCATGGAACATTCTGGAAAAAAAAATTCAAGTTTTTTTCCCCAGTGCTCCAAAGCAACTACAGCCAGATGACGCTTTCTTAAGCTTTGACTGCAGAGCATCAAAATCTATTAGAGGACTTAAAATGTAGCTCAGTGGCACAGCATCTGCTTAGTATGTTCAAGGTCCTAGACTACATCCCCAGCAACACAAACATACACACACACACACACACACACACACACACACACACACTCACGCATCTTCATGAAATCCCAACAAACTTCTACGAGGCAGTAAAAGCATTTCTAAGGAGGAAATTTTAAAAAGAAGAGCTGGGAATATAACACATTGGTAGACTATGTGCCTAGAATTCACAAAAACCAGTGTTCAGAAAAAAAAGAAAAAAGTCTGAGCCAACACATAACTTTACTCCTGATACTCGAAAAAGAAGAGCAAGCAAAGGCCAAAGCTAGAAGAAAGAATGAAGGAAGATCAGAACAGAAATAAATGAAATAGAGTATGGAAAAAGATTTTAAAAATTAACCATCCCATAATTGATATTGTTAAAGATCAACAAATTGACAAATTTTTAGCCAGGTTAATTCAGAAAAAAAGAGAGTAGACTCAAATAAGTGAAATCAGAAATGAAAGAGGGATCATTACAATCAATGCTACAGAAATGAAGAAGTTGTAAGAGTATTGTTAATATGTCAACAGAATGTATAACCTAGAAGAAGAATAAATAAATGCTCAGAAACTCATAGTCTCTAAGATTGAATCATGGCAATTTAGAATCTGAGAAAATCATTAATGAACAAGGACATTTAATTAGTAATAAAAAAAAACTTCACAATGAAGGAAAGTCCACAGCCAAATGGTTTCACTAGTGGATTCTATAAAGCACTTAACGACAAATTAGGGCTGAGAAGATGACTCAGTGGTAGAGTGCTTGCCTCGTATGTATGAGGCCTTGGGTTCCATTCCTCAGCACCAACCACATAAACAGAAAAAGCCAGAAGTGGTGCTATGGCTCAAGTGGTAGAGAGCTAGCCTGAGCTGAAGAGCTGAGGGACAGTGCCCAGGCCCACAGTTCAAGCCCCACGACCCGCAAAAAAAAGACAAATTAATGTTCCTAAAACTCTTCCCAGAAAAACTGAAGAGGAAAAATACTTCCAAGCTCATTCAATGAGGCCAGCATTATCCTGATACCAAAGACATTAAACCACTAGGAAAGCGTACACCATGATCACCAAGTTCAGATTCTTTCTGGAATACAATTAAAGCTTAAAATATAAAAAACAGTCAATATAATATACCATATTAGCAGAATGATCAAAATCCAATTAAAATATACCATGTTAACAGAATGATCAAAAACCATATTAGCTGAATAATCAAAATGTTATGGTCATCTCAATGGATAGAGAAGATACATTTAAAAAGACTGAACACCCTTTTGTGATTAAAAATAAAACCAACAATTCAACAAACTAGGCATAAAAGGAAACAACCTCAATATAATAAAGGCTGTATATGGAAGCTCATAGCAAATACACTTAATGATGAAAGACCAAAAGCTTTTCCTAAGGACAAGACAAGGATGTCTGCGATTGTCAACTGTATTCATGTAGTACTAGAAGTCCTAGACAGAGCAATAAAGCAAAAATATCTAAACAAAGCAGAACATCCCAAATGGAAAGAAGAAGTAATATTAACACTCTTTCTCTCTTTCACTTCCTGGCCTTGAGGAAAGTGGTTTTGTTCTTCATATGCTACTGGCTAGATGTGTCTCCATAAACCCAAAGTCAATGGGTCCAACTAATTGTGGACTGAAACCTCTAAAACTGTGAGGAAAAAAAGAAGAACTTTCTCTATGGAATTGTAACTCATTTGTGCAACTTTTTTTTTTTTTGCCAGTCCTGGGACTTGAACTCGGGACCTGAGCACTGTCCTTGAGCTTCTTTTGCTCAAGGCTAAACGCTCTACCACTTGAGCCACTTCCACCACAGTGCTACTTTTGGCCTTTTCTGTTTATGGTACTGAGAAATCGAACCCAGGGCTTCATGCATGCTAGGCAAGCACTAACCCACCTTCCCAGCCCACAACTTTTTAATAATAACAAAGAATTTTAAAAAATAAATACAATGAACTTTCTCCCTTCACATGTTGACTAGCTCAGGTATTTGTAGTGACAGAAGGCTGACTGAAACAAGGGAAGGAAATATGGGGTGCCAGGCTCCTGGACCAATGCTTGCTTGTGGTAGACAGTGTTCTAATCAGAAGCCCCAATGTGGAGAAGACAACCCATTCCCACTGGGAAGAGAGCACTGCCACCTTCCTACCACAGATGCAGGGACGTGGGACTTCCACAGACCCGGAATAGGGGAGCTATAGTTTTCTCATCCTATAGGAAGCTGAGAGCTATGACTCAGTCCTAGTGGAGCTCACCTCCAAGAGCCTGGGGAGATGGGTGCCTGGTGTTATCTCTACAGGGCATCTTGACATTTGGGCCTTGCTGATCCCTCTCCCCCAGGGCTGGCCTATTCCTAGAGATAATGAAAGATTTGCCTTTGATGGTACCATACAAATGCAAACCAATCAACTCCAACTGCAGATCCCTCCCATCACCTTCTTGGTGCTGTCCTACTCTAGATATGTACCTGCCTTCTATCTATGTGCCCTCCTCACCCCAAGGCCAGGTAGCATTCAACCAAGGAAAGCCCTCTGCCTTACAGCTGGCTGAAATTACTCAAGCTAGCAGTGTTGAGCCTGTTCACCCTGACTCACCAGTTCCTTCCTGTTTAAACCACAACAAGACTCCGCCCACAAGTTGACCCTCCCTCCTTCCTTCCCCTTGCTTGCCCACTGGCCCAGCTACTTCCTTATGTGGCTTCTTGTGGCAGGATGGCCTTTCCTGGGAACTGTGAGCATCAAGTTATGCTTTCCCTGCCAATTGTTGACAGGGACATTGGTTGGCTGGCTGGCTATGCCTAAATAATATTACTTGTATTAAACCAGAGCTCAGCCTTCCCTCTGTGAAGCTCACTGTGGACTGGCCACTGGCTGTCCCTTACCTGACAGGCCTGTCCCCTGAGCCTACTGTGTTAATATCTCTATAACCATGAAGATCCAGTAGGCCCAGCACATCAGGACATGTCCCCACATTCAAAGGAACACAGAGCACCCAGCCTGGGCCATGCCCTACGGATGATCTGACAACCGTAAGTCTCTAGGGTCTCTAGGGCTCAATCTCTCCATTTAAAAACCAGGAAGTTCTCAAGCTACCTTCATCCAAAAGCCTTACAGAAAACAATGGGTAGCTTCAGGCAGCCATCATCACCTCTTGAGGTAGAGGTGTGCCTACCAAAAACATAGGGAAACTAAGGCTCAGGATTGAGGTTTCCTCGCAGTCTCCATCCTAGAAGTCTTCCCCTTGTGTGGAACAAGTCTGTGTGCTCCATTTCTATGGGGGTCAACCACCCCAAACCTCAAACTCCTTCAGGGAGAGCTCTGAACTTAGGCCCTGGAATAGAAGGAGAAGCCTACCTGGGCCTGGCCAATGTCGTCCATCTTCAGGGGGGTGTTCTCAGCATCAGGGTCCTCCTCCACATCATTGTTGTCCTCCTCTTGGAGTGAATTCTGTGGTGTCTCACTGTCCACAGCTGTTTCAGGGTGCAGCCCCAGCATGGTGGGGTCTGGGGGGACCTCACTGCCCTCCTCACAGGGGAAGTGCTCACCAGCAACGCTGGAGGATGGGCTGTCAATTCCACTGTCCCGGTTGGGAATCTTCAGGCCAAGATCTAGAAGGCAGCTCCCTGCTGCGCCCTGGCTGCCAAGTTCCCCTTGGTAGGTGCTGGGCCTAATGGGGAGGACTTGGGGCTTCCCCAGGGAGGAGTTGCCAGGCCCAGCATTGGATACTTCTACAGTGGTGATGGCTTCTGGTGGGGATGAGGATCCCCCATCTAATTCCATCCTCAGAGCTGAACTCTAGGAGACTGGCAAGGAGCTTCCTGTCAGGAAAAAAATGAGTTTACCTCAGTATAGCGCCCCAAACCAGCCCCCTAAAGAAAGTCAACCTGTTAGAGTTAGGCTTTGAAATATCAACACCCTGATGGACTTCAGTTGGGGTCCTATTCAGACAGGCTTTGAGGGAATGGAAAATGGAAAAATATGTTACTTTAAAAGTATTTTTCCTACCAAAAGTAATCCTCATCTGGGTTTGGCAGCTCTTGCCTATAATCCCACCTACTTAGGAGGCAGAGATCTGAAGGATTATGGTTGGAGGCCAACCTAGGGGAAAGTTCATAAGATCCTATCTCAGTCAATAGCTAGGCCTGCTGGTATGTGCCTGTAATCCCAGCTATGAAGGAAGAATGAATAGAAGGATCAAAGTCCAGACTGGCCCTTGTTAAAATAATGAGACCCTGTCCCTCAAATAAATACAAAAAGGGCCGAGGGTGTGGCTCAAATGGTAGTACAGCTACCTAGCTAGTGGGAATACCTGAGTTTAACTTCAGTACACTACTTAATAAGTAATAAGTAAATAACCCACTACCACTAAAAATGTAGCAATCTCATGGTGTCATATGAGGCTATTTGTTGCTCAATACATTCAAAATATATGCACAAAGTAATGAAAGTAGTTAAGAACACAGTAGCTTCTATTTATAACATCCTTCTGGGGCCCATGGTCTTTCTTGTGAGTATAATAATCCCAGGAAATGAGGTCCTTCAGTGTCCCAAGTTTGAGATGTAAGATACCACCTTACATTTGCATATCAGTCTCTCTTGGCCCACTGGGGATTTGCCCACTGAACAAGTGGCAAGTCCAAGTCTCAATGCCTAGTACATAGAATTCATCAGGCAGTTCTGTGGTGAGATCAGACCAGAAGAGAGAATGACAGTCCCTGTAATCTTGCTTTTGACCCCAAGATTCAACCACAGAGAAAACAAGGGGCGGCTGCAGGTGATGACAACTTACCTGATGCTGTCCCTCTCTCCAATGAAGATATTGACAGTGACTGGCCTGCTTCTTTTGGGCCTCCAGCAGAGGTTGGAAAGATTTCTTGGAAATCTCTTGCTCAAGCTAGTTTGAAGTGGAGCTGTTTAGAAGGTCCTAGAAAAACAAGAAAGGAGAATGGTGATCAGAGTAGCTCAAGGCCCCCAGTTGTAAAAGGAGGGCAGCCCCTCACCACAGAGTGGCAGATCCTAGCTAAAGAACAGACAACCTCAGCCTCCCTAACAACACACCCAGCCCAAGAAGGGCAAGGTAACACCAGCGTCCAATACAGGGGCTCACATACATTTGGCTCACGCACACACTCACCCTCAGATATTCTTCTACCCAACTTCTTTATGTGTTCCCTTTCTCGCCGCTAAGCAGCACAAACAACAGTTAATGCTGACTGATGGCTTCTTACACTCACAGGAGATAGAGCTTTCTGTCCCTGGGCTGCACCTGGCTGCCTCCAGGGCCTCTAGGAAATGCATTACAGGGCTGGGTGCTGGGTCAGCTCGGTGGTGTCATCCCCTACTCCCCACTGCCACCACCCTCAGGGCTGCGGAAGTCCACTGGCCCCTGAACAAGGCTCCTCCCACTCTCACAGAATTCTGGGAGCTTACCTTCCAGTGGTAAAACTACCTCTGAGTGGACCTTTTTTTTTTTTTTTTTCAAAATGACTCCAAATGGACATTTACCATTCGCTACTGCCACATGCTTAACAAGCTTAATGGGCAGAAACATTCAGATTTCCAAACAGAAAATACATGTTTTTCTGCATTCTTCTCATAGTATTGGAGATAAACTCAAGTTTCCAGAAGTTAGACATGGCACAGCCAATAAGAGTACATGGGTGGAATGTGAGCTGGACTCAGCTTTGGTGTAGTCAGGAGCAGCAGGACAGAGATGGGTCCAACCACACCTAGACGCAGGGTGGGTGTAGGGAAATTATACTTCTCCAAGAAAGAAAAGCAGAAATGTGATTTTCTTTTTTACTACCTGAAGAGGTCGCGCGCTAACAAACAACAGTTTACAAGACATTTTAGACCAGATTGAAAAGCCCTGTGATTCTTCAGAGATAAGAACCATTTCTGGGCCAAGAAGCAGGGAAGGGAAACCCTTGGGACTTTTCAAAATGAGAAGACAGAGCTAGGAGTCTGGAGGACAAAGGAAACTGAAGTGCACAGGACAGAGCTCTAGAAAGAAGAGATCTACAGAGAAAGAACCTGGAGATCCTCAAAGGGGTGTTAGGAAACCACATGAGGATGGAGGGGGAAAAAAACCCTGACAGGACGAAAGGGAGCACTCCCTGATGTTCAGCGAGGACAAAGTTGTGCCTATTCCACCGTCCAGCCTGAAAAGCCTGCCGGTTTACAGGGCATTGAGTCCAGAACTCAAGAAGGTCTTGACTTAGTAGTAAGGTATAATTAATCCTCCAGTGGCCCACCATTCCACCTAAAAAGTCTTAACAGAAAGGCCAAACTGTTCACAACTTAATTACACCCCTGAGGACAACTAAAATACACTTAAAGGAATACAGAAATACCCAGCACTGGCAAGGTGCAGTGCTCATGTCTGTAATCTGGGCTACTTGGGAGGCAGCAACCAAGAGGATGAATGTTTGAGGCCAGCCTGGGCAAAAAGTTAGCAAGATCTTCATTTCAACTGAGAGGCTGGGTATAACAATGCACATCTGTGATTGAAGCTAAATGAGAGATGATGGGAAGTGGCCCTGTGGCTCAAGTGGTAGAGCGCTAGCCTTGAGCTGAAGAGCGCAGGGACAGCACCCAGGCCCAGAGTTCAAGCCCCATGACCCACAAAAAAAAAGGATGATGGTCACAGGCCAGCCTGGCAAGACCTTATCTAAAAGTAACCTAAAAAGCAAAAAAGGCTAGGGGTGTGGCCTAAGTAGTACTGTTCTTGTCTAGCAAATTAAGGTCCTGAGTTCAAATGCCAGGATCAATAATAATAATAATAATAATTCAATATCCAGCAAGGTAAAAGTCACAATGTCTGACATACAATCAAAAATTACCAGGTACAAAGGAACATTTAAATATCTCTTAATAAAAAAAAAACCTCCGTCAATTGAATTTGTCCCATAACTGACACAGATATTGGATATAGCAGACAGGGCATATGAAAACATTATAGCTAGGTGTCAGTGGCTCACACCTCTATAATCCTAGCTACTCAGGAGACCGAGATCTGAAGATCACAGTTTGAAGCCGGCCTGGGCAGAAAAGTCTGTGAGAAGCTTATCTCCAATTAATCACCAAAAAGCTAAAAGGGAAGCTGTAGCTTAAGTGTGGTAGATCCACCAGCCTTGAATTTAAAAAATGCTAAGAACTGGCACCCAGGCCCTGACTTCAAGCCCCAATGCTGGCAAAAAGCATGACAGAATGGTTGCAGACCATAGTTGCTGCTGGTCCCTGCTTGGGTTCTTTTTTGGCTTTGCTTCTAAAATCTACCAAAGCCATGCTAGCAGTGAGCAAGGCCCAGTGTATTTTGGCCATGTCCTGGTGGGCTGACCAAAGGCCAGTCAATGAACACCCACAATTGTCCAGAAGCACTGAATACTCACCATGGAGCCTCAGCCTGAGGAGGACAGCAGCAGATGTGGTCAAGGGTTTCCATCTTCTCTGCTAAGAAGGGCTTCTCAGACCATGACATTGAGTCAGTAGGACCTCAGAGCAGGACAGGATCACCAGGGCAAGCTGAGGGGAAGAAAAGGAGACATAATGTTGTGCCTGTGTACTGAGACATCTTGATCAGATACTGGCCAATTCAGCTCACACTACCACCTCTAAAACTTAGCTGCATATGTTAACACGAAGAATTAAACAAACTGCTTAACCAGTGTAAAACATACTGTTAAAAATTGTATGAGTCTGAAACAGCATGTTCATATATGGAAGCTAGACCTAAAATACCTGGGGACATGATAAAATTATACAGGACTCCAGGAATTCACACACAGTGAGACCAAAGGAGGACACTTTTAGGGGAGGAACACAAAAGTGAAATGCCTATGTACCTCTGATCACATAAAATAATGTTCATCAAAATGAACTTCAGGAAATGGAAACAAGAGGTTTTTTCCTTTGTTTTTTTGTCTTCTGTTCTTTTTGTCTTGTTTGTTCATTTATCTATCTTTGGGAGGGCACAGAAATGGAGGGACGACTTTGGAAAAACCACAACAAAATTTGTATTAGCTGTATATTTTTCATAAAGCTTTGAAATAAATGACTATATATCTTTAAAGAAAAGAAATGGAGGGACAAAGGATGAACAAATGCAGCAGTGGTACTCTCTAGACACTATGTGGAAAAAGAACTATTCAACTTGTGGGTGGGGACAGGAGGGAAAATCTTGGAGAGAGCAAGGGAAGGGGTATCCAAAAAGAACTATAGCTCCTCTGAATACCACCTTTGTAATAACAATATTAAAAAAATGTATGAGTCTGTTACAACTTGGATCTTACATGTTTCCTGAAGGCATAGGTATGAAGAGCTGGGTACCCAGGCACTTTGTGGAGGTGTTAGAATCTCAGGAGGTGAGGTCTAGTGGGAAGTTTTTAGGTCATTGGGGCATGCCCTTGAAAGGGATAGTAAGACACTACCCCTTCCTCGTCTCTCTCGTTTTGCTTCCTGGCCACCATGAGGTCACCATGCCTTCTCTTCCACGTGCTTCTGATCCAGTATTGTGCCTCCACAGCCCAAAGCAATAGGGCTAAATGCCCACAAATGGAAACCTCTGAAAGCACTAACCTTTCTTCTTATAAGATGATATATTTCATGTATTTGTTATGGCAACAACAACTAACACACATAGATCAGCAAAACAAGGTCTACTCATACAATGGAATATTGTTCATCCTTTAAAAAGGAAGGAAAGTTTGGACAACTGCTATATGGGTGTCCTCTGAAGATACTATTTTGAATGAAATAAGCCAGGCACAAAAAGACAAAGTCTGCGTCATTATACTCATTGAGGTCTCTGATCAAATTCATAGAGAAAAAAAATAGTAGAGTAATGGCAGCCAGAGGCTGGAAGAGGGGGAAGCAGAGAGTTAGTATTTAATAAGGAACTGAATTTATTTATTTACTTATTTATTTAGTGGCACTGGAGATTGAACTCAGAGCTCCATGTTTTTCAAAGCACTTGGGCCATGCCTGTAGCTAATCTCTGCTCCTTTTTCTCTTTTTATTTCATGGAGAAGTAGTATAAACACAAACATTACAGCCATGAATAAAAAATCACCATCTGCTGTCATTCTTAAAAGGCAAACAAAAATTCAACCTTCAAAATAAAATAGATGTGGGATATGGCAGGTAGAATCTCGGAGGGCAGGCACACCGTACTCGCTCTAAAATTATTTGAGCCTGGACATATATTTGAAAATCTTCAGAACAAAATATTAGGGGCCTGGGAAGGTGGCTCAGTGGTAGAGTGCTTGCCTTGCATGCATGAGGTCCTGGGTTCGATTCCTCAGCACCACATAAGCAAAAAGAAAAAAGCCAGAAGTGGCACTGTGGCTCAAGTGGTAGAGTGCTAGCCTTGAGCTGAAGAGCTGAGGGACAGCGCCCAGGCCCAGAGTTCAGGCCCCACCACCGGACCCAAAAAAAAAATTATATATATATATATATATATATATATATATATATATATATATATATATTAGGAAAGGGCTGGGTATTGGTAGCACATGCCTGTAATCCTAGCTATTCAGGAGATAGAGATATGATTATCTTAGTTTGAAGCCAGCCCAGGCAGACAAATCCAAGAGACTCTTCTTTCCAAATTAACCATCAAAATGCTGGAAGTGAAGGTGTAGTTCAAGTGGTAGATGCTAGTTTTCAGCAAAAAAGCTAAGGGCATGAGGCCCTGAGTTTGAGCCTGGTTCAGGTACTCATGCAACTGTACATGTGCATGCACACGCGCACACATGCACACGTGAGTACACACACATACACACACTTCTAATATGTATTAGAAGAAAACAATTTAACTCAAAGCTCCCAAGAGCCTCAGGCTCTTTCTTAGCAAAGGAAGGGTTATGAATTCCATTGTTCCCATGAGTACAAGCCGCCTTCCCTATTAGCACTTTGAATTCATTACATAATTCTTTGTAGCTACATTTGCTTATCTTTGACAGTTTCCATTGTAAAAAGTAGTGAATAAGACAAACAAGAACCTCCAATCTGCACTGCTGAAATTCCTCGCATCACTGTCCACTCTTGCCTCTCCCTCTAGTCCCCTCCCCTGCTCTAACTTCCCCCAGGAAAAACCCTTCAGGGTCTTTGCATGGAGACTTTTATCCCCAATTAACGAGCAGAGTCAAAAGTGGAAGAAGCAGGGCTCAAGTGATAGAGTGAGAGGCCTGGAGTTCAACCCCCAGTATCTAGTATCAGCACCAGCACCAGCACACACACACACACACACACACACACACACACACACACACACACACTATGCTGAGTGTTGTGGTACATGATAGCAATCATAGCTATGCATAAGTAAAAGAATAATGGTCCAGTATATTCCCTGGCAAAAGTGTGAGACCCTATCCAAAAAAACAAAAATAAATAAATAAATGTCCCTTTAAGTATAAAGGTCTTGAAGTATGGCTCAAGTCATAGAGTGCCTGCTAAGCAAGTATGAGGCCTCGAGTTCAAACCCCAAAGCCAACAACAATAAAAGTGCTTTGTATCTATTTTTTTTTTTTAGAAATATAAGACCCAAATTGAGATCCTGCCTCAACGCAGAATCTTACTCAGATGAGCCCACCCCATCACCTCATCCAAATGCACAAGGACCAGTCAATGAACAACTGAGACAGTTGTCCATGGTTTGAAGGTGCTAAATGCAGGGATCCCCAAAGACCCAGGACAGATCTGGAAAATACAGCATTAGACCAAATGCAGTAACCAAGTGACCAGGCCACCCCCACCTCATGGGATCTGTGTGTCCAGATCTCCCCACCTCTTAGAACCAATGTGTAAAGGGATCCCTCATTTCTGGGTAGGAATCAGCATTAGAGACAGCAGGAAGTGAAGGAAGACGTAGAGGCTCAGTGAATGAACCAGGCCATTTGGGGTGCAGTTGTCTGGATGGGGAGCACCGAGCGGGAGAAGGTGTGAGAATGGGAAGAACAAGAGTCATCCCCATACAGCTGGCATCCATGGAGCTCAGCCAACAAAGTGAGTCTGAACAAGTTATGAAAGAGTTGTAGGCAATAAGGAGGGTCAACTTGTGGGGCTCAGAAGTCACATGACCTATTGCTGATCATGAAAGAGGCTATTAGCACCTAAGTTAAAACACCAAGAATGCTGGGTGCTAGTAGCTCATGCCTATAATCCTAGCTTCTAAGGGGGCTGAGATCAGAGATCTGAGGATCATAGTTTGAAGCCAGCCTAAGTCGGAAAGTCCATGAGAGTCTTACCTCCAATTAACCATCAAAAAGTAGAGCTGTGGTTCAAGTGGCAAAAAAAAAAAACCAACTCAGGGACAGAGCCCAGGCCCTAAGTTCAAGCCCCAAGACCACCATAGGAAAAGAAAAAAGAAAAACACAAAGTAGGACCAGGATTTAAGCCAAGTGTCCATTTCACCCCCAGGGCTGTAAGTGGCACAGGCACAGGACCTCTTACCAGCCAATTAGATCTAGATTTTCGTTTCTCAGTGTCTGCTCCACCCTGTTCCTCATTGTTAGTACAGACTGTCCATGGCCAGCACTCTGCCCATCACCATCCTTCCCCTACACCCTGAGATTGTCTCTTCATCACTTACCAGGACTCATAAATACCTGTAGCTGGAGGATCCAGTGCCCAGAAGGAAATGTTGGTGGTGAAGGCGGGGCCCTCTTGTCTCTTGTTTCCTTCCTGCACTGGCTCAGTCCCTCCCTACTGTCAGTCATGCTGCCTAGAGATAGGCCGGACCAGGCAGTCACTGCAGTAACCAGCTCTGTGCTTTCTTCAGGCCCTGTTCATTGTTTTCAGTGCACACTTGCCTCCAGAACATTCCATAACCTCACTGTCACCTGGGTTTTACATCTCTACATTTGCCTCTCTTGATTATTCCTTGTATCACGGAACCTCAGTTTCCCCATCTGTAAATGGAGATCACAAAAAGCCCATCTGGAACAGGTAGGGAAAAGGGTGCCATAGGAACTTTGAAACTGCCAAAGCCATGGTTCTAGCCCAGGTTCTAGCCTGGGAGGGCAGGGAGTAGGGGACAGGTATTAGAGGCATGTCAGCTCTAATACCATAGAACAACATGCTCCAGGCCTGAGATATACAGGGCTTGCAGTCCAGTGAGGCTGTGAGTGAGGGTCCCTATACATATGGAGGTTCTAGCCTCTGCAGAACAAGGGCCAGCCCCACACCCCAAGAGCAGAACTTGGGCCTCTAAAAGTCTATAGAAGCCCAGCTGAGGAAAACCACTTCCTCTCCTCCTTACCATCTTTCAGCTACTGTGTAAATTTCCGGCTCAGAAAAGATGTGTGGGGGCCCAGCCAGTCAATTCACAGGCTCAAGCGAGTGGGGGAGCTAAGACAAGCAGGCAGAATATAATGCTGGGTGCTTCAATTTCTTGTGCAAATGGCTGACAAAGGCCACCCTTGGATATTGGGGAGGACCAATCCGAATGTCAGATGAGCTACCCACCCTGACAGGGAAGTGGAGTCCGCTTAAAGTCACAATGCTGGGTCCAACTCCAGCAGCAGCTCCACATCCCCCACTGCCCTGTGCCTGTCTTCCTTCCTCCAGCAGCATCTCAGAAGCCCCAGACCTCCTTTCTGCCTCCCCAAACAATAGCTCACACCCCACAGCACTCATCCACCCCAGGAAAAATGAAAATGGGCTAACCATCCACAAGACAAAGGCTCTCTACAAATCCTACAGGCCCCAGACCCCAACTTCCAGCACATACTTGGTCCCTAGGTCCTTATCGCCCCCCCTCACACTGCACAACATGAACTATCATCGTGGCATTAGACTGTACCATCATAGCTGCTATGACCCTGCCCTCAGGCTGCCAGCCTCCCAAGGTACCTCACCACTGCTCTGAGCAGACCAGGCCCAATCACTGGTGCCTAGTAGGTCAGTGGGCTCAACTCTCTTTCCTAGTAGTAACCCATTAGATGGGCCCACCTGTCATTTAAATTCTATAGTACAAAGCCAGGCTCCAGTGATTCATGCCAGTAATCCTAGCTACTCAGGAGGGTGAAAACTAAAGATCACAGTTCAAAGCAAGGCTGAGCAGGAAAGTCTGTGAAACTCTTATCTCCAACTAACCAGCGCAAAACCAGAAATATAGCTCAAGTGGTAGAGTGCCAGCCTTGAGTGAAAAAGCCAAATAAAAGAACAAGGCCCTGAGTTCAAATCCCAAAACCAACACACATAAAATAAAATTATTTAATTAATTTTTTCAGTTTATGCAAAAGACCACCGACGTCTGGATGGACATGAGTGGGGTCTGGGCCATAGCCCTATTTTATAAGGCCAACCTGCATGGGTTCAACCCTGAATGGCCAGCTTTGGACTTGTTCCCATCTTGGACTCCTCTGGAGCACAGAAGTCACTGACTACCCCATCAATCCTGTGAGCCTGTGCAGCACCCAAGCATGGCAGTCACACTGCCTAGCACTGTGAAATTTATGAAGCCTTCTCACACTTACCTCTTGATATCTCACAATAATGCTAGAGAAATCCATAGCCAGACAACAGTGCGGAACAAGACACCACTCACATCACAGGACAGCTTCCTGCCTTGTAAACATCCGTCTCCCACAAGTGACTCTTGTTTTGTTCTGTGTACCTTCTGTAACCTCGAAGTTTCCCCTTCCAGCACCAAACAGATACTTAGTGAGGATCTTGGGAATCCATCCCTACTCACCGTCCCTCCAAGAAGTATGAGGTTCTCTTTCAGGGGCTGAAACTTCATGCAGTAACAATACAACTTCCTTTTTTTTTTTCTTTTTTGCAATATGGGTCAGAAAACGATGGCATATTTACATTTCCGGATTGTTCTGCAGTAGCCTGAGATGGAGCTTGGTTCATTGGTTCTCAGAGCCCTCATTTGCAGGGTGGTGGGGGTGACCTCGAAAATGCAGTTCTCACTCCCATGGCCACAGCAACCCAGGCTTGGTTAAAGTTTAACAGGCTACTGGGCAGGAACCCTGGGTTTACAGGGGGACCTACCATGACCACTATCCCACATCTGCCTCAGTGGGCTTCCCTAAGTAGACCTGTGGCTTCAAAGGTCTTCAGAAAGGAAGCATCTGACATGGGTTGGCCAGTCCAGGCAGGTCCAGAAGCCCCTTGGAATCTTCCTCAACTTTCTTGGGTTTCATGCATGTTAACAGTAAAATGGCCATGGATGGTTGAATAATGGAGAGACCCCATAACAAATGCATTTTTTCTGGTATCAGGGTTTGAACTCAGAACCTCACACTCTCATTTAACTTGCTTGTTCACAGCTGGCATTTAAGTCATGCCTACAGCCTGGCTTTGTGCTAGTTAATTACAAATGGAGTTATAGATTTTCTGCCTAAGATAGCTGTGTGTGTGTGTGTGTGTGTGTGTGTGTGTGTGTGTGTGTGTGTGTGTGTGAAAGAGAGAGAGAGAGGCAGAGAGAGAGAGAGAGAAAGAAGAGAATGCACTGGTACTGGGACTTGAACTCAAAGCCTAGGAACTGTCCCTGAGCTTTTTAGCTCAAGGATAGCACTCTACAACTTGAACCACAACTGGTTAATTAGAGACTAGAGACTAGAGTCTGACAGACATTCCTGACCAGGCTAGTTTTGAACCTTAAGCCTCAGTTTTCAGCCTCCTGAGTAGCTAGGATGACAGGTGTGAACCACCAGCACCCAGTTATTTATTTTATAATTATCTTTAAATAGAATACAAAGGGATTTCAATTCAACATGTCAGTTTATGAGTGCAATGCATCTTGACCAATGTCATCCCTTTCATCATTCTCCCCTATGTCTCCCAACCCCATCCATCTCCTTGATTTACCAGGTGCCACTGATGCCTTCTTAATCCATCCTAAACATTATTTTTTGCCTGTCCTGGGACTTGAACTCAGGGCTTGGGTACTATCCCTGAGCTTCTTTTTGCTCAAAACTAGAACTCTAGTGCTTGAGTCACAGCACCACTTCTAGCCTTTTCTGTTTATATGGTACTGAGGAATCAAACCCAGGGTTTCATGCATGCTAGGAAAGCACTCTATCACTAAGCCACATTCTCAGCCCCATAAACACTTATTTTTAAAGCAAGCAGTATCTGTGTGCCTCAGTCTCCTTGTTGTTGAGTGGGAGCAACATGAGGGGGCATTGTCCCCAAGAGCAACCATCCTGAAGCACCTGTACCACTCCCTGACACCTTGCAAGTATAAGACAAACTCAAGTTACCACTGTAGAAAGCAATAAAAGGACTCATTAACAAGGAGGGTTTCTATAATCCAGGGTAACTTCCTTGAACACTTCTACAAAGTAGTTGCTCTGTGCATACCCAAAGATTGTGTACTCAGCAAGAAATGGGACCTCACCCCCACATTCAGCAACTCCAAACATATACCAGCTTTTTGTAGGGTAGGGTTGGTGGCAGAATAAAGAGGCACCAGGCTATGAGATGAATCTGCAGCTGAGATGAAGGGAAATCAAAAGCCTTCACTCAATTAATCACTGACCATTTATTGAGCAGTTAAACGACTAGATACAGAAGTTCATCCAGCAGGCCCTGAAGGCAGTTACTATAGGAGGCTTATAGAGACCTTTGTCTTTGCCACTCGTTCTGATACGGCGCTGGTTCTTTAGCTCCTTTGTTAAGCTGATAGCAAGGGACAGAGGGTATAGTGCTCAGAGTCCAGTTGCTTCTCCAATCACTCTATCCTACTTTTAGGAATCAGAGCCATGGGTCCCACATCCTTCTTAGAACCCTCAGATTCTAACTATCAGATCAAGTGTCCAGGTTTTTCTCATCTGTGTGTGTGTGTGTGTGTGTGTGTGTGTGTGTGTGTGTGTGTGTGTGTTGTTGTTGTTGTTGTTGTTTGTTTTTGTCAAGACAAGAGCAGTATCATCCTAGCAGGGCAAGAACAGCATTGAGACCACAGTGTTTTTTTCCAACTAGCCAGGACTGGGGACTCCTTTGTCAGCTTTGTGCCCCTAAAACAATTCCTACCAAATATTCCACCAGTAATAGTCCAGACCCCAAGAAACTAATGCTCCCCAGAGATGGTGTGGACCACTGTCTTTGAGTGGTGAGTTTCTTGGAATTTTCACTTTCTTCTTGATGCTTCTCAATAACATATAATATACAAAGAACATTTACAATATTTGTCATCGGGACAAAGCCAATCTATTTAAAAATAAGAAAACGAAAGCTTCTCATTGCGATTCCCAGGCAAGAGCTCTTGCACAATGAAAGCCAGCTGTCTCCATGTCTGTTTACGTACAGAAATGTTAATTTCTACTTAGCTGTCCTAAATGTCTCTGAGGAAAAATAAATGTGGTCATGAAACCAAGATGGAAAAGATACTGAGTGTAATTTTGCTTTCTGGAAACAGTTTTTGCAAAAAAAAAAAAAATACTTTTTTTTAGTTTGAATTCAACTGAAATTGCATTTGATTCAGATAGAGAATATTTTCTTCACTTAACTTCCCTTCTGGTCTGGCATTTGGAGAGTGCCCAAGCCCAAATCTGGAATCTGTGATGCCCACTTAGGACTTTAACCACACTAAGTGACATTAAGTGAACTCTTTCACCCCAAAATAAAACACCAGGCCATTGGAAGACTCCCTGGAGAAAGGCATATGAAATTCAGGAATAGTTGATTAATCATCCTTACATTTTTTTAAAACAAAAGAGAGATGCTTTAAAACTATTTGATAGTTTAGTCATCTTAGCATAAAGAGCCTTTAACCTT